TTTTTCAATAATGAAAAAAGTATGCTTCATCCAAAAGCATTTCCAAGCGGCTCTTTGAATTTTAACTCTGCATCCTTATGCAGAAGCGTGCTTAAGCCATGTTTTTTTTTTTTCTTTTTTAGAATTCATGAAATATAGCCTAACCCTAAAAAAAATCTACATAACAGCTGATGTTTATAGCTGTGCTGTGTACCTTCTGGACTAACTAGGAAATAATCAAAGCTGTGTTGTGTCCCTCACAACAGAAGTCATTCACATATGAAGAGCACTGTTCCCTCTCCATAAACAGTGACAAAGAAATAACAAGGTATCAGCTTTTGTTGTTTTGGTTTTTTATAAGTAGTGACTCACAAACTTCTACAAACTGTCATGACAGCAGCCACAACTTGATAGACATGTAAGGCCAGCACTGCCAGAGATTTCTCAGTGAAAATAGCTTAAAAACTAAAAAAATAAAATGAAAATAGAATTCTGGATTCTCAAATGCAGCTTTTTAGATAACATGACCACAGAGTGAGTTTAAATAATTTTGCCTACCCCTTTACTCTCCTTCACATATTGTTAAAATACCACTATGCCTATAAAACAACTCTCACAGACTTTGCAACTTTTGTATCAGGAAATAACTCAGAGGAAAATATCACAAATTATAAAGTTTTCATTAATTTCCATATACCTAAATATGACAGCTAAAATTACACAAAAAGTTGTTTAAAGATGATTTCTGTTAGGTTAGCTACAGGTTCCTGTTTTCAAAAACTGTGAAGATACTGAATATTTAAAAACCCTGCAGTCTTTCAGCAACCAATATTCTAAAACCATCCATGCTGCATAGCAATTTAAGCTAGTAGCTAAAGAAGTCAGATTTCATACCTATTGTTGAGGCCCATTTCACAAATATTTGTACTTGGTTCCATTGCCTGTGCAATTACAAAGGGACAGAAGTGCTATGAGTACATATGAAGAAACAGCAACTGAGGTACTTTTATTTTCAGGTGAGAGAAGTCCAGCAGTGAAACTTCTGATACATCTATTTACACAGATCACATTCAGGTATAACAAGGGAAGTTGCTCAAACTTCACCAGATCTCTCCCTAAGTACTTTCACTTGGGCACAATAAAAATTATCCCCTTGCTTTTTTAGTACCATTCAAAGAGAAATAATCAAGAAGTTTTCTTAAAACAAGCAAAAAAACTTTTTGGTGGACAGAACAGCCAACAACTCACATTTATTTATTACAGAGAGACCAACTCGTGAAGTATTTGGGAAAGAAGACACGAGCAACCATGAAATAAAAAAGCTTAAAAAGGCAACAGGAGCTGTTTTTGTAGAGCAAAGGTGCAAGACAAAATAACGTGAAAGAGCAAGAGCGATGGAGACTTTCAGAAATGGAAAGTTAAACTTCAGATGATTAATGTTAACTAAATGAGGCAGTGAAGTGACTGGACAGAACTGTGAAAACTAACTCCTGGAACTGTTTTAATTAGTATGTAAAGCAACCTCGGAATTTTGGATCAAGCCCAGCATTCTTTAAGCGTTATCGGACAAGACGACAAGAGGCGTCCTCGGCACCCAGCACAAACAGAGCTGGGCTGTAACAACGGGAGGAGGAATGGTGCATGTCCTAAACATTGAATACACAGCTGTCATGGTCACCCTCCCTGCGCACAGGCTGCGGCCGGGGCAGCTTCATGGGACCCGCAGCAGCTGCTACGATTCCCTAAAGCCCAGGTTTTATTTGTTCTTCCTTCCCATAGAGCAGCCCGGCCTTCCTGCGTGCCCCCTCACGCCCTGCAGAACCCATTCCCCTCCTGCCCGGGCAGCGGGCTCCGTGCTCGCTGTGGGCAGCTCCCCCCGGCTCCTCAGGCCGCCCCCGGCCCGCACCCACGGCTGCCCCCGGCCCGGCCGCCCCTGCCCGCGCATCGGGGCCGCTCGGGCCTCCCCCGGCCCGCACTCACAGCCGGCGCAGCGCCCCGAGGCAGCCGCGGCCCCGCTCGGCCGCCGCCAGCGCCATGTTGGGGAGCGCGGGCGGGAGCGGGGAAAGCCTCAGGGGCACGAGCGGGCGGAGGCAGCGCGTCACGGGGAGGGGAGCGGGGAAATGGCTGTCGGGGGCGGGACTGGGTGGCACCGGGAAACGGCGCTGAGAGGGCTGATCGAATAGACTTCATTTAAATACGAAATGATGCGTGTCGGTGAAGGGTCATCGCCTCTATGGGTGCACGGACTCGGCTGACCGTGCTCCTTCAAGAATGACATCCGGGGATTTAGTGGGACAGCCACACACTAACGTGAGGGCTGTTGGGAAGGGCTTGGGCATCCTCGGATAGCACAACAGCCCGAAAGCCTGCATCAAAACGCCTCGTGCAGGAGGAGGAGGAGGTCACAGAGCGGTGGGATCAGAAAGCCGTCAGGATCCATTCCGCTCCCTCAGGCTTTGGGGCTTTGCAAGTCACGGAGCCACACAAGATCTGGGTTGGAAGGGAGCTTAAAGCTCATCACATTACATTACTCTCCCTTGGGCAGGGACACCTTTCAGTAGCCCAGGTTGCTGCCAGCCCCATCCAACCTGGCCTTGGATACTTCCAGGGATGGGGCCTCCACAGCTGCTCTCGGCAGCCTGTGCCAGGGCCTCACCGCCCTCATAGGGAAGAATTTCTTCTCAATAAATCAGTTTAAGGGCCAGACCACCCCAGTGCAGGGCCTTGCTAAACCTGCCCAGACTCAACACAGTCAAAATAAGTATTTCCAGTTGTTTACAAATAGCAAAGCAGCTGTGCCTTTTCACAACAGGAATACACAAGCTATCAACTGCAATAGTGGAAGTGTTTGATGTCTTACATGTTCTCCTTACTCTGATGAATTAACAGTGTCTCACATTAAGAGCATCTTTGGTATGCAGGCAATCTCTACTTGCTCCACTGTTGCTATTTTTACTCTGCCGTGGTGAGCCTTCACACCAGTGACTGGATGGTTCAAGCAGGTTAAACAGACAATGGATCAGCCTGGAGCAATCATCCCTTGGACTTGACTGAAAGAGGGATCAGCACTTGCTCTAAGGATGAGATTTTAAAAACTAAATTATTATGTGAAGCTTCCACTTTTCCATAATCCATTCGCTTCAATCTTCAACATAAGATGCTAACAGTGTAGATCCTACTTTTGCCTTTCGTAATCCAGGTTTTTAAAATGTCATGCTTCATTTGTCTCTAAACACAAGATGGCAGCATTTTATGTAGTTTAACAGTTGGACATTGGGGCAAGCTACAGATATTTTACAGTCCATAAATCAGAGGTGGCAGAGGAGTCGGTGCTTTTAGCAATAGAACTAATGGAAGTGGCAAACTCATTTATATTGCAAATCTGCTCTTGGTGGAGACATCCTGCCAGCAGGGCTTTTAGGGCTTGCAAATTGAAGCGGGATCACCAGACTGTACACACAGATGTTTGCAAGTGCAATGTAATAAAGCTTAAATGCAGAAATAATAATTTCTTCAGTGACACCAGTAATATGTTTGATGTGTACATCCATAGTCAGAAGCACTCAGGTGAACATACTGATGTAGTGGATAGGTTGGGTCGGCAACATTTTTTAATTTTATTGTGGAAGCTGGGCGTATTTTGAAAGCTGCTTTGATTAATCATTTGTTGTTTGCTTGTAACAATTTTTTTCCATGAGGAGGTTATGAAAAATTTAATTTGAAATATGAATTCATTTTCCTTGACCTGATGACAAAAAAGTCATGGTAAAATGAGGTTAAACATCAGCTGGACTCATGATTCATAATCTTCAAACATTTTTGTGATATAAGAAAACCTCAGTAAAACTGAAGTTCAAAACCAAGATCTGTGTCTGTAATGAACACAGATATCCTGACTCAGACTGAATACCTTCTTTTTTCCCAACAGCCATTTATTTTGTTTCTGCTTGTTGGAAATGCAACCTGCTCTTATCTAAAATTTTGAAGAAAGAGCTAAGAAACTGAGTCAGTTTATAATTCAATAACGTACTTGGGATCTACCAATTCCATAGGTAATAAGACTCACAAAAAAAGAGAAATGTATGGTTTGTGACATTTTGTGGATAGCTGGGAAAGCCCAGCAGTGTTATATTGCTGTGGCAGATAAACTTCAGACCCACATTCTCCTGCCTTGTTGGCATGCTATGGCCACAGCCCTGGACGTGAGGAAAGAGTCCAAGTCTTGTCACCTTAGTCGCAAAGGGTTAACTCCATAGAAATCCTTCTCTTCTCACGCTTATTTTGCTCCAAATGATGCTTTAAAAATACACCTCCTTTTTTTTTCTAAATATTCTGATGCAAAAGTTTCTTCAGTTAATTCCAAACTTCTGCCTCTGGGACAGTCCAGGGTGTGACTCATAGATGGGGACTTTTTGCCTTTAAATAAAATACTGGACTGTTCTTCCATCTGGTATTAAACCTTGCCAAGAGAGAATTTTGAAACACCAGCAGCCTTTGAGGGCCTACCTCACACATACAGGTGTGTATTTACCAGCCCAGCTTCTAAAACATGAACAAGTGATGAACTTTGCCCACTAAATAGGTGCAAAACTGCTACCAAATTTAGCATTGTATCAGGCCAAGCAAGTGCCAAAGAGCAGAGGAATCTGCCCCTGCTCTCCAGACAGCATTGCTTTTCTTCTGAAGGACAAATCAAGGGGCTTGCAAAATTTTCACCTTTTAACATTAAATGATCCATCATGCAGGGATGTGCAGTGACACCAGAAATCAAGTGAAGCATAATTCTGGTATTTTATCCCTGGGAGAAGTTATGGCCTCTCTGTTGCTCTCACTGGAAATTCTCCAACAGCAAAGTTCCTCAATCAACTGCCAGCAGCAGAGATTGTTTTTTCTCCCCCATCTTTACCACATCTTCTGCTTTCTTGCAGTCCATCTAACAACCTTTGCTTCATGAAGAGCACAACATGTGAGACTCACTCAGCCATTTCAGAGATAAAATCACTGCACAGCGATGCACACTCTAATGGTTAAATACAGCCTTTATTATGAAAACACCAACAAGAGAAAAATAAAGAGCATATCTTACTTCTCATAGCAAGTTATTTTTAGCAGCCATACATTATAGCAAGCTAGAAGTGATCAGCCAAGCCATGTTCAGATACTCAAGATGCCAATCTAATCTCCCTTCCTCTTTCAACTGAATTAACAGCTGTTTCTTAATTTGCACTTGTCCATGAGAGAACAAAAAGGACTGAAAGAAATTAAACCTCGTTTTTTAAACTCCTCAGTTACTTGTCTAAGTGTGACATCATCATGCTTCTGGGATGCCCTCATTCTTTCTTGGGTGTGCGAGAGACCACAGGGGATTGTCTGGCACGGGAGCTGCAGCAGGGCACCAGGGAGCCATAGGGATGTGGGGACATGGGGATGTAGGGATGTGCTCACCTCCTAGTCCCTGTGATGGCCCCACAGCCTCCTGACCAGCACATGCTTGCACAGAAGTTAAGCTTTGATTCCCTGGTGGATGCATCACATCATCAGTGCATCATGTCATCAGTGCACCAGATCTCCCTGATCAGCATCTTCTGGTTCAGGGATGGGTTGGTCTGGGTCTGCAGCTGGGGGAAGAAGTGAGTTGGGGCTGCTGAGTCACTCTGGGACCCAGCTGCAGCCTTGTCTCCGCACCCAGCAGACAAAACTGCCCTGCTGCTCCATGGTACAGCCTTTATGGCCCACCTAGTGTGTTTACCAAATATTTTCCTTTTGTATGGTGTTCTTTTAGGGACTTTTTGCTCAAAACATTTCCTCAGACAAGATGTTTAAAAGAGCAAGTCTGGCAACACCGAGACTAATTACCCCTAGAGAGTCTTCCCAGTGGGAGGGAGACCTCAAAGCCATTCCACCAGATAAAAAAGTACCACCTAAATATATTCCTAAATTCTGGCAGAAAGCAAACACAGGCATCAGCTTTTAGAACTGCACATGGCAGCTCAGGGAGCAGCTGAGCTGTCTGATTCTAATTCAGCATTAGACTTGGAGAGGCAACACTCCCTGCTGTGCTGACATGCATTCCTGCTGCAGGCTGGTTGGGTTTTGGGATCAGGGATGGAGGTAACAGGATGCAGGCTGGGCCACAGCTGGCAGGAAGGTTGCACTTCAAGGCTGGGATCTCCTGATGCAGTAAGGATTTCTCCAATGAACACTCTACTGCTATAAAGCACTAACTCCATTGGATTAATTTTGCTGCATGTTGGCAGCATTTCCTGGGAGCATCCAATTGTTTCATTGGTTTGCACCACGTGCACTTCACGTGTGCCAGTGAGAGCAAGCCCAGAGTATCATTCGTGTACAAATGGCAGAATGCAGCTTCATAAAAATAGCAAACAAAAAATAGCAAGAAAAAGCAGAAGAACAAATCATGTAAAACTGAATCCAAACATTGTTCAATACCAACAGGTTGATTCACTGTAGAAAGAAAAAAAAACTATGAGGAAGAACATTATTCATGCATCACAAGTAAAAATGCCACATCTCACAATATTTACCACAGAATTAGCAGACATTAGTAACTATTTTCTGTCCTTATAGTGATATCAGACCTTTTTAAAAGACTGAATATTAACATAAAGCAAAAGTTCCTGTGCTCACAGCTGGTTCTGATGTTTCTCCAAGTGTAAAAGTGCTTCAAAATTGTCTTTATCTTTCTTCTTTATTGGTTCATTCAGACTCAAAGAGAACATTTCTAGAGAATGTTAATTACTTCCACAGCTACACATTATACTGATTATAGAGCAGTACAGCCATGTTTCCTGCTCCACACAGACCAACATCTCTAATTAATTCATAGCATGGAAGAATTTATTTTCTTTCTTCATTTAAATAAGTAAACTTGCAATGGTGAAATACTAGTAAAATATCAAAACCATTTATAAAATACTTAAGAGAATATCTGACAAAACATAACCATCAATTTTATTCAGTGAAAATCAAGTGAGGTTCCATCACCATTAATAACTGTGCAGGATTTGGGCTATTATTCATAGAAATTAAATTAGTTCCCAGCATTTCTATTTTGTTTAGATATAGATTAAACTGTCAAGGCATTTTTCCATATGACTTCAGTCTTTCTTTTGTTTAATGAGTGCCATTCCACAAACTGTTATTAGTAAAATTTAAGCCATTAGCCTAACTCCTTGAAGGAAGTGTGCTCTTATTGAATATTATTTTCTCTTTTGCAAATGTTTTTGTACATAATTTCTTACCATCTTGATGTCATTTGCTTCAGTGAGCAGAGTGTGAGGCATGTGCACGTGTACATTTCTGCACATGTAAATCTTTTGTGACAAGGAGCTTTTCCTTGTTACAACAAAGAACATGAGCCAGACTTAAATCTCAAAAGCAATTATTATTCTCATGCCTTCATCATTGGTTTAGCAGGAAATAACTACAGAGTGTATCACTGTGCTTTAAAGCAACTCCAAATTATTTCCATATAAAAATCCAGCTGCTCAGCTGTAAGCACACTGCAGAACACTGACTTTTGGGGAAGGGCTGTGCAAGCTTTTCTTTCCCACAGAAGCCTTGACCATACAGCATCAGTGGATTTCCATTTCTCATGGACCTTGTGCAGGTGCTCCAGTGAAAGTCACTTAATCCCAGGCCATTTCCAGTGAGTGTGGCATCTTCCTGGATTAAGAGACTACCCTGCTGCCACAGTAGAGGACATCTCCTGTGCTCAGTGTGGTCACTGTGACAGGTCTGTGTCTGAACAGCACGTGGGGGATTCCTGAGCTCTCACAAGACCAGGAACATACTAAGCTCCAGGAGAGTGATTGCAAGAGTCACAATTACCACTGTGTCTTTGCAAAGGGCTTAGCAGGAGAATCCCAGGCACTTAGGAAAGGTAACTGTGTTGTAGGACTGGTGAGAAGTTGCTTGTGAGTAGAATCACACTGACACTTCCCCTGAGATTTTGGCACACACTGTGTTCCAATAAAAGCTTTCAGTGAGCTCTCACTAGCAGGGTTGTCTGTAGCTATGGGCCTCTGATTTATTCAGCTGAAGGTCAGACTTACATCTTTTGATAAATCTAACCACCATCACCATTATTAACAAACCTGATGGATTTTCTGGAGGATAGTGATACTGCTTCCTTTAAGCTATTTTTAGGAATCTAGCTTAGGTGATCTGAATGAACTCCTTTGTTGATAAGAAAGAATTTAGGCTCCTCATTTTGGACTACATCTAAATTAGAGGCTAAGAATAGCCTAAAGTAGAAGGTGTGAGTTTTCTCCTTCCCACCTTAAAGAAACTCCTTCCAGAAACATTCATTAGCTGTAAACACATGGTGTCATCTCACTTTAAAATGTGGCTCCAGGGCAGGGAAATTGCCAGGCAGAAGCAAAAACTCCTGTGATTTCTCTGCTTGTAACATACATTTGGAAGCACAAGGGCACCTCAGATGCGTTCATATCCTCTATGTGGTTTCCTCCTGGAGATCAGGAAGGTGGCAAACACAATGACAAACAATCCCAGGATACTCAGGCACACTGCAATGGGAGCTACTTTGCTGTTTCTATCCAGAAAACATTCTTCTTCTGAAATGAAAAGGAGATCAGAAAATGTTAATAGCATAACACTATACTCCTAAACTGTACATATATAGTCCAGAAAAGTTTGCAAATACAAGCCAGTTCTCAAGGACCTTGCCTTCTTTTGGTTTTTTCTTTCTTTTTCTTGAGCTATACTTACTACACTTTTTATCTGTGGTAAGCCTTACCTCAAGAAAACCATCCTCACCCCATCTGCAGTAGCTCTGTGCTTCCCTAGAGAGTGGCTCTTCTCATATCTGCAGGAATTGTTTCACCACTCAGTACACACACAGGGGCAAAGCACGGACTTTCTTCCCAAAAGCAGATGGGGAGCATCACAATACAAAGTGCCAGTCTTAAAATAAAGAGAAAGACACATCCTGCATGGTCAAAAACTGCTCCTGTGTGACATCTGATTGCTTCTTCCCAGTTAAGAGGATCAGGCCAGAGACAAAAGCCCATAGTCCAGCACATGATTAGTGCAGAAGGGATCCTTGTTAAGTCAGTGTTTTCTAAGAAAAATCAAATTCTAATTGTTCTCTCTGTTTAATTCAGAATATTTGTGGATAATGGTGGCTAACTTAGAACATTCAGAGATTAGGAAGGCAGAAACCTTGGACTTAGTCCAGGGAGTTGCTTTAGCAGTACCTTTGCAATTTTGTTGTACATATGATGATATCAGACACAAATCATATCTTTGAAGGATCATCCAAAGATATCACTCCAAACATACCTCTTAGCTATAGAGAGGGCAAATCCTAGCTCCCTCAGCCAGTTCCTACCCAAATGAATATTCAAATCATCCTCTGATTAAACAGAAATTTACTACTTTAAAGTGAACTTCTAGACTGAGTTAAATCAGCAGCTTTCCTATGGAGAGACTGCACCACGTGTGCCACTGACAGAAATGGAAAATTTACCCAGCAACAATGGCAGGATCAGCCTCAGATTCAAAATACAAGTATAGTCCAGGGAGTGAAGGCATTATCTGGGAATGACCACTAATGTGTTGTCCCAGAATTGGATCAGACCTACATCTTCCATCAGATCTAGAGGAATGGTCCTTCCTCAGGCCCCGGGGAAAGCCAGACCTCTGTCATGCTGCTCAGAGTGGCACCTGCAGAGCAAACTGTTCTCTAAGCAGGGCAGCATGGTCAGCTAAACCCCACAGTGTATCCCAGCTCAGCAGCAAATCCAGTTTATAGCCAGGGTATGAGGGAGATACGATACCCTGTGCCCCCCCACTCCCTGTGATTGTTCCAAGGCAGGTTTCAACAGTGCTCTGAGATAAAAACTATTATTCCATGACTCTGCTGGCACAGGCTGTAGCTTGGCTTGGGCTTTTCCCCATGGGAATTTATACTCTCAGTGGCAATGAGCCCAGGGAACATGTGGAGTCCATGACATCATGTTACACCTCCAGAGCCTCCACATGGCTCTTCCCAAAGTCTGATCCTCTTCTGCTTTAATCCAGATGGTGACGCAATGCCGCAAAGCCAAAGGAATGAGCATTTTATTAGAGGTTGTCTTTTAAAAGCTCTGTCTGGTTAATGTAACCTGCTGTTAAATGAGCTGAAAAGTACCTGCATCTAAGTGTTGTTAAAGCCAGAGATGTTTGAATTAGCCATTTTGCTTTGATGAAACATTGGGAATGAAGGAAAGAACTCTATGAACTCTAGGAATTGTTTCTGATACACTGAAGTACAGAAGGCCCTTTTACAGATTTCCAGATTCAAAAAGATCAGGCAACTGACGGAACACTGCTATAATCTGTACAGCATTGCAAGGAACTTGAAACCAGTGACCATTAATGTTTTCTTTTTCTTCCCCATTTAAGGATAAGCAAATCAGGAGCAACAGAAGTGAAACCATCAGTCTTGAGACACCCAAGGGGAGGAGGTTGGTGATGTGTTTAGTCATTCCTTGACTGGGGATTTTCTCTTTCAGAGTCTGCATATGCAGCCAATACACAGCAGTTTCACGACTGTTTTATAGCCACGGGGGAATTATTTCACAGGCGGCATCTGCCTTATCAGCTCTCTGATTAAGAGCAAAACCAATTTAAATTTGTATATGGTACTGACTAGCAGAGATTAGTCTGACTTGGAGGGAGGGAGGGAGAGAGAGAGTAACAGAGAGCATCTTTCTCAGGGAAGTCTCCCCTGGAGGTGAGGCCATACCTTATCCCATAATTAAGATCATTTGTTGTATACATTTGAATGGAAATGCAGGGACCAGATGGGATCCCATGAGTTCTTCCAGCTCAGTTTTATCCCATGAAAATATTTAATGAGAATGAGAGCATAGATAGAATTCTCAGTGTGGAGAAGGACCATGTCTTAAAAAAGCTCCAAATGTTGTTTCCCATTATATTCCTTTTAGAATGGAAAAAGTAACCAAAATGGAGATCTAACAGAAGAACTGGTCAAACAGAGCCAATCTGAGTCAAAAGACAGATCTAAAGTAAAAAGAGGAACAAGGGGCAATATTTTATAAGCATGCAGAAAGGTAAGTGGCAGAAGAGAGAATGTTTTATTGCTGCATCTAAAGGGCTGGAAAGCTGGTAAGTCCCTCTGTGCACCTGGTAAGCCCCTCTGTGCACCACAAGGTCCCACTGAATCTCCCTTTGTCTTTTACTGAGATACCCGATTGCCTCTTTGTGGTTTTCCTGTCCAAGAAAAGACAAACTGAAGAGATGAGCATCATGTTTAATTCTGAAGCTGGGAGTGGGCCAGTTGTGCTCCTCCTCAGGAGCATATTTCATCATGTCTAGACACAGCTGCTCTGAAAACACCATCCTGCATTCACAAATATCCCTTATGAGCTGGCAGTTTTGCTGCTGCAGCCGTGGAACAATGTGAGTACCGGGAGCCCTTAAAAATAGCTAAAATCTGGCTATATTGAGAACAGTGACCTGGAAATGAACTTTGCACGTTGGGGTTTGAGCACTGCACTGGTGGTGAACACACCTCTGCTTGTTCGGGGAGAAAATGGATGAAGAAAATTGTGGCTGTAGAGTTGAACATTTTTAATGAGAAGATGAAACAGAAGGTACTGAATAAAAGGGGCAAAGATATTTTTCCATCCTCCATAGGTATTCGGACTGTGATGGAAATTACTCAGGAATGGTTGAGAAAACAGCAGTGGGATGTGTATGGGCAGACTTTAGCAGATTACATCCATCAGGCCACCAGAGTGCTGACATGTAGATCTGGGAAGGCTGGAAAAGCATCCTTCTACTCACCTTTTCCAAACTGGTTACCCACAATGTCAAACGCCTGCAGCTGCATATGAACAAAGAGGATCTGGAAGTTCCTCTCCAAGGTGAAGGTTTGCCTGCTGGCACACTTAAAGGAATTCCCCAGCTTTGTTGTGAACAGCTTCTTATTTAGTGCTGCATAGTAAAGCATACCTGGAGGCCAGAGAGAGACAGATGAGAATCAACACTGACTCCATTGGAACCAACATCTTTCTGAGGTAACATGGTCCCAGAGGTGACTAAAGCATGAGCATTTTCGCCATAAACTCTCACTTATTTTTCTAACATGTTTAAATGAGTGCTTTAACTATTAATGGGCAACTCAGCTGAGCTTAGGTCTGAAAAAGTGGCTAAAATTTCAGATGATTCTTGAAATCACATTTTAACAAACTGAGTCTGCACAAGTGGGTTAGAATTCTCACAGGAGCAGGCAAGGTTTGAAGTAATCTCTACTCGGAAAGAGTGGGGCAGGGAAAGCTTTTGGGATCAAAAAGAAAATGTAATAACAGTGATGTAACTAAGCCAGATCCCTTCTCCTCCATTTTTATTCTGTAAGATTTAGGTGAATGACACATTTGAAAGCTTGATAAAACACATATTTGCAAAATCCAGTGTTTTAAAGATATGAAAGCTTATCCCACATCCAGAAGAGTTTGATATGAAATTAAGACTAGGTAAAATCACTGACCTTCAGAAGATAACTGTATTCTGCTCTCAATTTTAGTGACTGAGTAACTTGGAGCTTGCTGCAAAAGAAGACATATCTTTACTCCTAATACATACTCATATTTTCAGGGGAAAGAAACGCAGCTCACCTCAGCAAAATGGTCATAAAGAATTTTCCAAAGAAACACTTTGTAAAGCATCACCTTTGAGACCCAAGAATCAACTCTCTTGGATGTATTTTTCTTTTCCGAATCTCTGCTGCATCATCAATTCTCCTCAGTTCAGTGAAACAGGACCATGCAGGTGTCATTTTACACAAACTGCTCAAGCTGGGCACTCGTGAGATACTTGTGATAACCTAAAGTAGGAAGACTGCTGACATGGAAAACACCTGGTACAACAGCACAGAACTGAATTTCCAGCCAGGAAATTCACACGTGCCCTGAAACCCTGGTGTAACTTGGACACTGCCCTCCCCTGGAGAGAGCCAGCCCTGGGAACTTCCCCCTGGTAGCAGTGTTGGAGTAAAATGTGATGCCTCATGCAGCAGCCCTGCTAACCAGTTTAATTCCTGCTGTAAGCATACAGGGACTGGTGAGTGAAGCTGGTGGATAAATGGCAGTAGACATGGATGTCTCCTGTGCACATGCAGGATGGAGTGGGAAAATGGAAGAAAGAAATACACCAGAGAAGAGGTTCATAGCATCATTCCAACTTAAATACATAAATATAACCATTTTTGGGTGGCAGTGCTTCGCTCTGTTTGGCCACAGTTAAAAACTTTGCTTGTGGAAAGCACCTACCCCTACTTCACATCTTGTGGGTTGGTTACACGACTTCCTTTTTTCAAGCCCTTTACAGAGGCCGCTGCAGTGGTGAGCACTGAGCCAGCCCCTCTCCTCTGCCACCCCAGCCCCGGGGCCCAAGCCAGCTCCTCTCCCACCAGGGACAGCCACAAGTGCCACTGCTGGAGCACTCCTGCTTCAAAGCACCGACAGAAGCTGCAGAGACCAAACACAAAAAGCCAGCAGCAAACTGTTTTCTTATTAACTTCAATTTCAAAGCAGTCCAAGCTGAGCCCTGCTATGCTCTTGAGGCTTATCTTTAAGTGGATGGTGAATTGTCTAATGCTGTGCCAAAAACCGCCTTTTTCAGGGCAAGATAAGTCAAGCACCTCCTAAAGGTTCACATCACTCTCCTTAGCACTGCTGCAACCTGGGGCTTTCGTAGGTACTCGAATCCCCAGCCTTTCTCTAAGGATTCTTGTAACACCAAAAAATGCTCCTCTTGTTGCAGGAAGCACACATTTAAAGCAAACACTCAGAGTCTGAACTGATCCTTTGTTTTGAAAGAGCTCCTTCATTTTTTACCTTACTTTTACTCTGTAGCTCTTAGAAAACTTTTTGCCATAAGCTAAAATAAAGATGACTATTAATCAAAATATTTTCTCTGTTCAAAAATTAAAGACAAATATGGGGTATAATTCGCTGTTCCCTCTTGGGCTTTCTAGGAAAATGACTGATTAACCATTTGTACTTTTCTTATTTGTCTCTAATTTCAGCTTGGAACCAGGCTGCAAGACTGACACTTTAGCTTCATTAATTGAAGGACACAGATCAGCAGTGATGGCCAGATGCAGCTTTCAGCCCTGGCCTTGATGCACATTACACTTGCCAGAGTTCGATGGGATCCAACCCGTGCCATCTTCCTGCCCATTCCTCCCTGCCAATAATCACTTTATACACAGGTAGTTGTGTTTTACCTCTGCTGGCATCATCACCAAGCCCTTACAGCTTTCAGGTAAATAGTGCTGCCTCCCAAAATGTGCAAATGCCCAAGTTAGCAAGAGGATGGCTGCATTCAGGGATTTTTTGATTTTCTCCTGTGCTTATAAAGGCTGCAGCACTCCTGGTAGCTTGTGTTAAAGCCACACCTACATGTGATGTGGGCCCAGTGGGGAACATGGAATTAATAGATACAATGCCAAAACCAAAGCTCAGTTTTCCACTGTGTAAGCAGGAGATCGATCTCATCTTGCCCAAGTTTCTGTGTGTATTTTAGGTCTCCCCGGTGTGGTGTATTTTAAGGCTGCTTACCTACACTTTTGTTGTTGCAGTTCACTTGTTTGGAATTTTCCACTGAGAAATTAGATGAAATTAGACTCCTTCAGCTGTGGATGTGTCATGGCTCCTGGGCACTTAAAACTGTGCAGGCTGTCCTTTGAATTTGATAACCCCAGCTGGCTTTTAGGGGAAGCAAATGGCTGAGAGCAACTTGACAGTGTGAGTCAGAGCTCCCAGCACACCTTGTTCCTGCACAGGGACTCCAGTCCCAAACCCTTCCCTCTGCACCACTCCAATGCAAACAGCAGGCCTGACCTTCCCTCCCATGGGACTTTTACCTATGTAAAAAGCAGACTCAGATTTTGCTTGGCTAACCCTAGACTTTCTGTTGCTTGATGGGCGGCTTTAATGCTGCTCTCTGGCACTTTCTGTCAGAGGATGTCAGAATACTGTGCTTACCCTTCAGTTCCAAATTGGAAGTTCAAACAGACCTGATTTAACACTAAATTCAGTTGCACTGTGGGCACGACATTGCACCAGGAAGCCTCCAGAGGTATTTTCCAACCTGAATTAATTAAACCATGGTTCTATGGTTCTAGCCCTTTGAGAAGAACAGGACTAACCATGCCTTATATACAGATGGAAAACAAGCACAGAGATAGATAAAATGCCTTTTCCCACAGCTCAAGCTGGATCAAAGGCAGCCTAAATTCCTGCTTCCCAGTCCTAAACATTCCTTCCCTCTAAATGCAACAATTACCTTTTCAAAGGTGATGTTTACAAATCCTCCACTAAAAGTTAAATTCAGCTCAGACTGCACGATCCCACAGCTTCCAGATATCTTTGTTGCATTGGGGTTGACAGTCAAATATTCCATCTGTTCCTGTAGAGAGAAGAGACATTGCAGGGTTGGTGATGAAGAGGAGGGGGGAATTTAAAAGCAAATTTAATTTTTAAAGAGATTTAATAACTTTAAAACTTGCAGAGATTTGCCTTTTTTTTTTTTTGCCCCCAGACAGGCTCTGCATGGCTGAACGAACAGGCCAGTGGTGGTGGCAGCTGAACTGCTGCCTGCCAGGGTCACTCCCCACTCACAAATCAGCACTGGCAGTTGTCTGAGTTGTTCCAATGCATTAAGCTGGCAGAAAATACTGGGTTTCTGTTCATTCAGTGAACTGATGTGATTCAGGCAGGGTCAGGTGAGTGAGTGTGAGTGGTAGTTTACAAAGAGGGATCACCTTATGTTGTTATAAACATTTCACTATGGTCTGGTGAGGTTGGAAATCCTGCTCCCTGCCTGGCTTCTGCCAGGACGAGGGATGAAAATTACCTTTACCAACATTAGACACTCATCCTATGTTAGAAATATTCAGACATCAAATATGAATATTTGTATTTGTAAAAGGGGTGGCTCAACCATAAGAACTTCAGAGCCTGAGGATGTAGTTCCATGTGTTATATTAATGGAGACTACAGAAACTTAAGCCTGAAGGGCACAATTGCCATTTCAGGTTGTATGACATCTTTAGCCGAATCATTCTCAGCCAATCACTTCTGGAAAAGAAGACCAGCTCTTCTGGACCTGGCAGTTCACATGATCCTAAAATGTCCATACATCAGCATCAGGACAACTCATCTCTAAATCCAAATCTGTGAACTGATAATTTCTTGCTTTCGTTGCAATTCACAATGTCAAGCTCTTACCTGAAGTCAGTTCAGATTTTAACTAATTTCCCATTCTTGAAAGCACACATAACCCTGCAGGCTGATCTCCTGCCCCAGAATTGCTCCCACTCAAATACTGCTGAAGTAAGAAAGCACCTTTATGTCCCCTTGGCATCATCATCACACAGGCCAAAGTACAGCAGCTGCGGCACATGAGGGGTGTTAGACTGGAGCAAACCACTCACTTGTATCATAGAAGCTAATTCTGAAAATGCCTTGGAAAGAGGAAGAATAAACTCCAGCCAATGAATTAAGTCACTACAAAGCTCAGCTTCCACCTCACCTGTTGTGTGTTTCGAGCCATCAGCTGCAGGCCCATGACAACTTTGACGCAGGTCCCGTTCCCATCGGAAAGGGTGTAGGTGCCTGTGGGGATGGCAGGGGGCTGCGGGGTGGGAGGGGGTCTCACTGTGCTGCCAGGGGATGTGGGGGCTGTTTGTGTCCCTGCATGGGTGGCTGTGCTGGTCACAGCCGTGGCTGTTGGGCCGCCAGTGGCTGTTGTTTGTCTCTGTGACCGTGTGCTGCCAGCTGCAGCGGCGGAGGTGGCACCTGTCCCCTGGGTACTTGCTGTCTCCTGCTTCAGGGAGGTGTTGGTGGCCGCTGCTGCGGTTCCTGTGCTCACACGTGGTCTGCTCCCATGTCTGCTGGAGTACACAGAGGGAGAGGTTGTGCTCTTCCCTGCAGCTGTAACCGAGGGTATTGCCGGTGTCGTGACCTGGCCGGCCGTGCTGGGGTTGTCTGCGGCTGTTGTGGACACGGTGCCTGCTCCTGCCCCGGCTGCCGTGTGCTGGCCCGGAGCTGATGTTGCCTGGAGCTGTTCAGCTGTCTGCTCAGCTGTTCTGTGGCTCATGGGTGTTGTCTGAAGAGGGCCTGTGCTGTTAAAACGAAGTGGGGTGTTTTGATGGGGTGAAGGATGATAAAGTAGCTGAGCAGAAGTAGCCATTTGGTGGAAGGATGTGGTTTCTGGAGACAGTTCGACCCCCAGGGCCACTTCAGCAAAGCAGGAGGACAATGCTGCAAAGAAACTAAAGTCAGTAGTCTAGAAACCTTTACATTTCACTTTTGTGTTGATAAACTAAATAACACAAAATACCTGCACTGGTTCTGTTATGAAATGAGTGATACAATTTCACTCTTCCTTTGGCCCCAGTCATGATAGGAGAGTGAAAGCAGACACTCTGTAGGACTATCCACAGCTAGGCACCACACCCCCGAGTTTCACATCTCTGAGTATTCCCATCCCAGTGGAGCACACTGGCTCCCAGCTCTCCACACACTGAGGAACCACATGTTGCACAATCCCTGGGCAGCACAAGAATTCCCTGCAGGCAGTTCAGCCAGATTTGCTGGAAGCAAATTGTCGGGTCTAAGGAAGATGAAGTGGGTGTAGCAGCCAAAGGGGTTGTTGGTTTCTTACAACAAACTGTAGGGAAAGGGGTATGTCTGTGTGTGTGAAGGAAGCGAGGCAGTGCAATGGCCTTAAAGTGATTCACAACGGTCTGGAAAACCAGTCTGGGAAACCAGTCTGGGAACAGGGAAATTCCAAGTGTTTATTTATGATTTTGTTGTAGCCATGTCAGCTTGAATCCTGAAGTTCTTCCTCCTGGAGGAACCCAAAGAAAGACCATCCCTCTTAGTGATGGGCTTTCAGAAATGAGAAAAAAATCAGGGTGCAGCATCCAGGAGTATTTTGGACCAATTCAGAAAATAGTTACAGCACCAAAATTATGGTTCCACCTAACAACATTTTCAGAAACATGTCCATTGCAGAAGTGGAAAAAAAAAAAAAAAATCTGGCTCCTAAAAGTAAATACAGAAGTGAACAAAAAGTGGGAAAGTACATTGTAGAATATTTAAATGTCACAACTCTTCTGCTTGCGTCTTAGTGAGTATGCAACAAGACTCTGGAAAGACAAGGCTGAATTAAAGAAATATATCACTGATGTATGTGAATTCTTTGATGTACATGAAGATATAGGTGTAGTTAAAGTGCTTTACTGCCTAAATTAGTGCGAGGACAGAGATAAATTCTCCAGTTTGGAGACAGAAGGAACCCAAAAGTCCAAGACAGCTCATATTCCCAGAAGTACAACTCCACAGAGAATGCCTCAACAAAAATGTCTGAGTTCACTGTACACTTGTTCTTTCAAAGGAATTTCTCATGAATCAGTGTCAAAGTTGATGGCAGGCAGGCTGCTGAGATTAGGATTTTAGGACAGATTAATACCAGAGGCACGTTTAGAGTAAAACTGGCTGAAATCTCACAAGTTCTTCCATGTATTCATTTATTTATTGCCACTCACCATGAACAGAGATCTTCAGTAATAGCTGAACTCACAAAATCTAACAATTTTCAGATACATATAAATTAAGTAAGAATAATAAGACTTACTGGGTTTTGAATCAAATTCAACATAAAAACCAAAGGAACAAGAGGAGATGCACAGATCTTAACCCTTAACACAATTTTCCTTTAAAAATGGCTATGCTGGAGAAGAGCAGAAATGTAGATGTAAATATTCCAGACTCCTAAAATTGCCTGGGTTCCACTCTGAGCTGTACAGAACACACCTGACCACTTTAGGTGTTACCGTCAAAGGCCAACTAGAGACAGTTGAAAAATCTAAAAAAAATACTGTGATTTTTCTCAAAATGAACCTAAAAATGCATAATTCATATGATACTTTAGCTCATTGTTGCTCTTGCCCCTACACTTCACCACAGCTGGTGCAGAACTGTTGATCAGATGACTGATCTCCTTCTGTGGGGTCTGGGGAAAGCCGGAGCAGTTGCCTCACACCAGTTATGGGTAGCTGCGTCCAATTGTATCAGCATGATGAAAACAAGAAAGAAGAAGTTGAAATTTTCACTCTTTCTTCCCCTCTAAGACTGTGAAACAACCCATACATAAATGTACATGAGTCCTAAATTGTCTGTAGGTCTTAGTTTTCAGTTCACAGATTGGTTTTGATTACTGATCAGATAACACAGATGTAGAAAGAAATATTATTGAAGTGACATTAGAATGCCACCTTTAAATAAAACTCCTTAAAAGGTCATTTCAACCTAATTATTTTTCATTATTCAGCCAGACAGGGTCACCTGAGGGGTAAAGCAAGAAATGTCTTTAGAAAGGCCCATGGCTCTTGCTCACTGGGTGACTACCAGGCTCTTCCTCCGAGCATTTTGGGGCTTCTGCCAGAGCATGGCCACACTGCTAAATCCACTGGCTTGGACTGTCTCCCCAAAAGGCATTTGGCCACAGGGCTGGGCAGGGATCACTCTCAGCTGCACCCACTGGCACTGGCTGTGTTTGGGCAGCTGCTGGAGGTGGTTTGGTGGCTCTGCTGTATGAAGGGGCAGATAGGCCCTTGGGGTCACTGACCTACCCTCCAGTTGAGGCTGGGAAGGCTTCCATGGCTCCTTAGCATGGCCACATTCCTCTCTGGGAGCCTGGCTGAGTGTTCAGTGCCATGGCCTGGCTGTGCCATTTCCATCCTGTACTGGGGGTATGTGATAGAAACTCTTACTGAGGATTTTTGTCCCCTATTCATCTAACCACATTCATCTGTTCCACTGCCCAGCGGCTTTTTTCTACTTTCTGCTGCCAGGAGAAATCCTCCTGTTTAGTTGACTGATTCTGAGTGGACACAAAACCTGAACTGGCTCCTGTAATCAGTGAAAATGCTCTCACCAGCCTTGGCTGCTTTGGTTTGTTTGAGGAATTGGAAAAGCACCAAGATTTTCTGAGAGGTTTCAGTACTGTCATAGCTTCCCTCCAACCCATTTGACTTTCATCCCTTCAGCACTAATTCTGTTTCATTCCCTGTCTGCATAGAAAGACTTGACTTTGTGACATTAATGAAACATCACAACAAATTATTAAACAAAGTGTGAAAAATGGGTAAGGAACAGAGGAAACAACTTCTTTCTGGTCAAAAGTGATTGCTGACCACTGAATTATTAGTGTTGCTCCTCAGTCTGATTTTGCTCTTTCATTTGTATGTCTTGGGGCTACTTTAGCAGACTTTGGCTATGAAGCAGGCACAGGAAAGCAGAGAGATACAGCAGGAACTGCTCATGGTGGAGTCCCTGGGCACTTTCCCTGCCCATGGACTGGGAGGGGGACGGGGGTTGATCCTTGTGTGATCCCCATGTGCCGATGGCAAAACACACCAAACACTGAGCTCAAGCCCTTGGCCATTCCACAGATTAAGTCACATTTTGTCTTCATCAGGTAAATTTGGTGCTACTGCACTTGTTGAGCAGTGACTTAAAGCACTGAGAGATTTCCTTCATGTGTATGGTTCCCCAGAGCAGCATTAAGGATCAAATGGTGACTCTAATGGGGTTTGTCATTGAGAGAAGCCCCAGCCTGTCTTCTCCAAGCCCCTGCCTTTCCTGATCCTGCACTGCATCTTGCAGTGTGGATAAATTAACAACTCAAGCAACGCTTCCTTACTTTTATCTTTCCTGCTTTTGGCACTCAGGATTTTCAGTTAGTTCTGGAGGTGTGGAAATTATTTTTAATTAAGAAAAGCAAAGCCAAAAAAATCTGCTTCTAACATGGCTTTGAACTGACTCCTTCACACAGACTTTATGCCACCACACAGTTCAAGGGAAAACAGAGAGCAAAACATCAAACTAAGTGTAGAGCAAAACATCAAACTAAGTGTATGGCAGCTGCAATTAACAGCAGTTATGGTTATTTCTTAGCAGTGGGACTTTACTGAAAGCACCCTTAGTGCTAGCAACAAAACTGTTCAAAGTTTTGAGTCTGTCGGGTGCTGTCCTGACTGCAAGGCAAAAAAACCGGCATAATGTCCCGTTTTTCAGGTAGAAATGATGCTGTTACTCACCACAGGCGAGGGTCAGCGAGATGAGCTGCCGTGCGCTCCTCCCCATGGCCAGCACGGCTGCGAGAGGCGCTGCTTCTCCCGGGGAGCGGCTGCGGAGCGAACCCAGCTCTCCTGCGGGCTGGGAAGTTTCACTCGGGGCAGGGAGCGCTCAGTCACATGGCTGGGAAGGAGGTGGAGAGGGAGGGGGAGAGCGATGCCTCCGTCTGCAGACTCACGCAGAAGGAAATAAATTATGGTTAGGAAAGAAAGTGAAAGGAGAAATGACTGCTGGGCTTACTGGGAGGAGATCTGGGACCTGGGGTTCTGCAAGGCCGTGCATCTCCGTCCCTCTCTGAGAGCCTGGTGCAAAGTGCCCCAGCAGTAATTCAGTGCCTCTCCTGTGTTCTTCAGAAAGGATTTTATTTAAGGCCAAACTCCGCTAAGGCACAGGAGGGAGAGGTGTGACCATCCCCACAGAGCACCTGCTAAGTGTAAGGCAGGGCTGAGCACAGCCCCAGCCGGGCCCTTGCCCCATCCTTTGCTGCCTGGCCCGGTGCTGCTCCCAGGCCTGCACCCTCCAGGGTGGATGGGAGCTCTGTTAGTGCTGCATCCCAGCCCCTGTCCCACAAAGGGTCCTGCACAGCTCCCGGGCTGGGGCAGGAGCTGTGTGGGCAGTGCTGGCTGCACGCCTGGATGTGCCACGGGAGAGCATCGCTCACTCCTGCCCTGGACATTCCCTGCCCTGGGCATTTGCCAGCTTGGGGCAGGGAACAAAGCCACCCCCACACTGGCATCCGGTGTGCTCCTAATTATCTTGCTCGGTTTGCACTGTCTTTCTGCAGTCTCATTTCAGGTTTCTGCTTGCCTTTCTACATGGTCCACAGCTTGTATTTGGGTCAATTAGCACTCCCTAATGAACACTGGTAGCCAAAGGCACGCAGATATCTCAGGAATAACTATTATAAAGTCATCTACAGTTTCCTCTGAGCTGTCTGTGTGAACCTTTGCACTCTTCTAAGAGTCCCAGCAATTCAGAGCATGAGTAAGGGAGATGGGGGAAAGGAGAAAAACCCCTAATCTGCCTTTTGACACATGTTGGACAAGTTAAAGTTATATTGGACAAACGTGTGGATTTTTTCAGCTTTGATAATGTGCCTTTACTGATAATTCATTTATTTCAAATAGAAAAAAAAAATAATCTCATTTTACTTGTTGCTTCATATAGAGACATCAACCACAGGGTTTGGTACTAGTTATAATTTTTATAAATTTCAAACAAAGTGTGGTTCTACACAGGTCAGAATGGCCTAATTACAGGAAGTTCATTTGCACATTTTTTTTCTTGTAATAAATTCATACATTCTGTCTTGACTGGAAAAAAGGACAGGTAATTCTGTGCTCTTTCCCTGTCTGATTATCTCTCATCAGTCACAATATACAAATACATCATTATCAACATCATGGAAATCATGTAAGAAAAACAAAGTGTACCAATTCTCAGCTGGGGAGAGGAAATCTTAGCAGCTACTTCAGTCCAGCTGCAAGAAGAAATACACATTTTGGATCTTTTTTCTTATTATTCTTATATATTTCTAATCAGCTATATATACATTTGAAGTCTTTGAGTATTTTTGGAAAGAAAGCACATGGCCTTTCTCATACCCAATCCTGTTTGAAATATCAAGACTCTAAGAAAATCATAGATAATAAAATGGCTTCTCATCACACACACGACCAGAACATAAGACACACACACAGAGATTTGCTGTCACTGGAGAGAAAAGCCAGAGCTCAGAGGTGGTTTGGCTGCAGCTGTTTGTGTTCAAGACAACGACCACTGGTCTGGTTCTCCACCTGGTGGGGTTCAAGGTAAGAGGAGAGTATCAGGCCTGGTTCTATTTTAGCTTGGTTTACTAAAAGCAAGACTTGTGTGTCGTGCAGCTGCCTGTCTCTGTTCGCCATTGGTGCCAGTAAGGAAGGACTCTGCAGCCCAGCCACACCTGAGTGAGCAGTTTTGAGGGCAGTTTGGAGGATGTGAAGTTTCTGCAGAACTTGCAGAAGAGCAGCAGCACAGAGGGAGGAGAACCCAGGCACACCCTCAGCCTGGAGGGGAGGTGTGAGCAGCCCAGGCCCAAGGAGCACAGCCAGGCACTGGGCAGCAGCAAGGGCTGCTGCAGCATGGATTTACCTGGGATCTGGGGTCTTCTACAGCCAAAACTCAGTCACAACCATTACTTTTAAATGACTTCTAAATGGTCACTGTATCATCTCCAAACAACGCTGAAATGAAATCCTTATTTGAAAACTATGATTTTTAGATCCGTCTACCTGAAAAGGATGGTGTCAAAGACCTACAGACAGAATAAGCATACCCTAACATACACATTAGTCTTGCTGGGCTTTACCAAATCATCTTCTAAACTGTACATGGAGAGTCATTCCCCTAATTATTACCTTGTTTGATGGAAATACACTAATTAAAAGACTATCCTGCATACTATTTAAAAAACTCAAAAAGTCATGAAACCCCGTTTTGTCTCATCAGCAAAGCCAGGAGGTTACTCCTTTGTGAGCTGCGCTAGGGCTTGTCAGCAGCCTGGTCTGTCACTGAACTCATTCTTTCCCAAAGCCAGCCCTGCAGTGGCCCTGTCACTGCCCAGGAGACCCTGCCAGGGCTGCCCTGTGCCCTGGGTGGAGGCAGAAACAGGCACCTGGCACTGCAGGAAGGTTAAAGACACAGTTAATGGTTGTGAGCTCCCTGCTCAGGCTCAGTGTGCCCGAGGAGCTGCGGCACAGGCAGCTCCCAAAGATCAGAGTTCTGTGCCACTGCTGCACAGCCACGGGACAGAGAGACCTGTCATTCCCAGGGCATCCACGGAGCAGGACACACTCAAGTGTGTCCAGCAGGATAAAACATAATATATTTCAGACAAAAAAAAAAAAAAGAAAAAAGAAAAAAGAAAAAAGAAAAAAGAAAAAAGAAAAGCTTTCAAAAGCAAAGTAGGGAGGCGAATGCAATAATCCAGCCCCTACCTTTGCAGTTGCCATGACAGATGGTCTGGATCTGGGACAGGCCTCTTTTCCTCAGCAACCCCATTCCCTGCTCCAGCTCTAGACTGCTCCACAGGATGCCACCAGTGGCACTCTTGGAGGGCACACTGGGGCATATGGGGTTGAATGCTTTGCTTTTCCCTGGAGGGTCCCTAATTTTTGTATATGTGGTAAAATGTAGCATTTAGCAGGAAATTCCATAGCTCCCATGTTCCAGGAAGGTGTCAGGGCACCAGGGGATGTAGGACCAGCACACCTTTCACCCTGCTCATGCAGAGGTGGGAAATGGACTGACAACACTTGACTTCTCATCTTGAGTTCAGAGACTTCTCGCTACCATTTCACAATCAGAATGAGATTCCTCAAAAATAATAAATAAACTCCACTCCAAAGTGCAGGTTTTTGTCTTTCCATCCATCAGCAATGTCACAAATCTTCATTTTGTCAGTTTCATACACCCAGGCTAACCCTTCCCTATCTCTCTCTCTCCCACACACAAAAGCTTACTATACTCACTAATGTGCAATCAAAGCTCCTTAGCCCTTCCCTCTCCTATGCTTAGGGCAGGGGTAGACAGCAGCACTGTTCCTGTGCAAAAATTAGTAATAGAGAAATCAGAATGTACTCATTTTAGAGAGAGGATAAAGTAATTGCACTATAAGAAAACGTTGCTGCATATTTCCTTAGGGGACTGAAAGGAATCAATTCCTCCTGCAAGATGCTGATAACCACAGTAGACCAAGAGGATCCATGTTCCTGAGAGCCTACATGTCATTTTTGAGGTAAATGACCAACAAAAACAAGCAAGCTCCTACTTCTGTAGGACAAAAATAGCTTCCAGAAAGGTACAGAACTCTCAGGTCCTTTAGTCATGAACAGAAAATGTCAAAAATCACAGAGTTTAGATATTGAGGGTTAGAAGAGCCATGGGAACCAATCACCGCAGTGCAACTTATAATCAACCAGTAAGTCTTCATAGGCAAAAGAAATCTGACTAAGCCTTTACCTGCTCCAAGGCTTTTTCTCAAACAGGACTATCTACCTGCTCCACAGCTATGCTGACTCACACACTAAGGTACTTGCAACGCCAGCCTTCACTGAGACACAAAGGAGAACATTCGAGTCCCTGTGAAGGTGAGAGCAGAAATGATACACACACCTACTGCTTTGCTCAGAGGCTCAATTTGTAAAGAGTGGGTTTTGGTTTTGCTTCATCTCCATTTCTAGTGCTTTTAGTGCCCTTTATTTACATAAAACACTACTAGTCTGAGGGTTAAACAAAACATCCCTAAGAGTGAAAGCCACTCACTCACTCTTGAGCTTCTTCTGAGTTTTTACTAGACTGATCTTCGCCTGTTTGCAACCCTTAGTCAATATTTATCTTTACTAAAGTACTAGCAGCTTTTGTGGGACCTAAGACCCAATTACCATCAAAATGCCTTCATGCCTTAACAGCTGCTCTAAATGAGCTAATGGCTTGTGTAGGAATCATAACATCTGTAATCACTTTATATTATATATTACATCCTTATATGGCAGAGATTTGCCTTTCATCAAACGTCCTGGAAAGAAGTATTTAACATCAACACTTTATCCACTCATTGGAGCATCTAATGCTCACTGCCTATTTGCAATGCTTAAGTATATTCCAAATGGGAGGTGAAATGTATTTACTCATAGCCCAGCACACAAGGAAAGCATGCAGTCTACTCAAACATGTGACAGTAAATGGCCTTCAACTGAATTCTCGGCACCAAATGCAAAGAGTTGTGATCCAGCAACCAGAGACTGTAGAGGGGGCAGAGGATTGACTTAGGCTGTAAAAAGAGTTCAGAGTGTTCTTTGTCACAGTAGCTGTTACACGTCTTTACTTCCCTGCTTGGCCCTGCACCTCCCAGCCAGGAGCTGCCACCTGCAGCATTCCAGGTGTGGAATGTTGTGTGCAGCAGGGCCTTCCCGGGCCACCGCAGAGGAGTCACGTCACTGCTGCTCGGAGCCCCTCTGATGGTCCCAGCCAGAAGTCTCCTTTGCACAGCCACCCTCAAGTGGGGTGTTTTTGGTGTTGACCGACAGCAAAAAGGGCACATTTGTGATGATGTATCAGCTGGAATTGAGAAGGACAGGGAAGGCACAGCCAGAGGCAAGCAAATGGAAAAACCTCCAGGTGACCCCAGGGTGGAGCAAGGACTCATAACCACCACGTGCCCCTCTGCAGTGATGTGGTGCTCAAGCAAAGTTGCCAAAAGGTGCGTGCATAGAAACTCTTCAGCTCTGCTGTCGACCTAATTTAGGCCACATCTTCTGAAACAGTTTGATAATCAATGCAAGAAGCATTTTTCTCCTCTAATACTGAAGGTAGGTTTGATGTTTTCTGGATGTTTAATGCTCCTTTCAAGTTTGTTTTTCCCAGCTTGCCAGGTGGACAGCACAGTTCTCATCTGTTCACATTGATAAAATATTAGTGAATTATGAACCTTAGAGCTTGTGAGAAAGGCAGCTTTGATCCAGTGTCCACCCAAGATAAAGACAGGTGGACGGGGTCCTGAGGAAGGCTGGTCCTGCTGTTCAGCTGCCAGCCCTCTGTTCTGCTGGGAAGCTTTTGGCCACCTCACTTTCCTTCGTGTCTGACTCTACTGAGGCTGTGCTGCAGGAATCGTTGTATGTGTCTGAAAAGGAGGACATGGGCATTGTCACTACAATAAGTCTACAGGATTTTCCACCTACAGTCTTAAGGTTCTTTGTTAAAAGCCTGGAATAAAATAAAACATAAAATCACAGTTCCACTGCTCTCCTAATTCCTTCACAAAAGGCAAGAGAGGCTCTTTTGCTGTGTAACTTTAATACTTTAACAAACAAAAAAAAAATCAAAAGAGATCAGTAACTCAGAATAAAGTGCTGGTAGCTCTCCATTGCAGATCCCCAGGGAATGGCTGTGCCAGATTTTGCTTTCTTCTGCTACCAGAAGAAAAGCAGAACACATTTTGGTAAATAGAATTTAAGTATGGACAAATATTGGTCTAGAATTGTAAACCTTTGAACTGCAGAGATGCTCAGATTCAGCTTTTCCAGTGCAACCTGTTTGGGTGTTAGGTCAGAACCAAAGCTGAGAATGGATAACTTTTAGTGCTGATTTGGCTGACATCTTGCCAGATCAGCCCTTCCTGCAGCTTTTGGAGCTAGCTGTGAAATATGATGAAGGCAGTAATGGTTCATGAAATTTTAATGTTTTCAAACCTAGACCAGAAGCACAGCCCTGATGCTGGTCTACATCCAGAGTCTATCCGTGCCAGGATCAAAGCTGTCCTGCAGGCACACCCTGTGTGTGAGACACTTGGGCTCGCTGTTAAGCAGCCACTCTGAGTACTGATAGCTGTAGAAGCTGGATGGGAGATTCAAGTTCTCCTCAGAAAGGGGAAAACAATTAAAAGCTGTCGTGCCTGACTAGCTCTGACACACAGGCACCAAATTTCAGGTTGGCTCAGCCATGTCACCAGAGAATGCAGCACAGACATGCACTCAGGTGAGTTCTTCAATAGAGAAAATGCACTTTTCTATCACTTTTTTTTTTTATTGCATCCTTTTTCAGTATGGAGAAAAAAGCCACCAAACCAGTAACACATTTTCTCTGTTACCTGCATTGCTGCTCTTAATTATGTTGTTACTGTCCCCCTCTGCCGGCTGCAATATACTGGAGGGAACCCAGTCGCTTTTCTCAGAGACCAGTTTCTTCACTAACCTGAAACTCAGAAAACAGTCAATGAATTTTCCTACATTGCCTTTCCCTGGGTTGTGTTTCTTAGAGGTGTGTGTTGGGCTATTATTTCCTAAACTAAGGAAGAAGGCAAAGGACCCAGGGCAGTCCTACAGGTATCCATACAGAATCACAGAATCACTGGGTTGGAAGAGACCTTCAAGATCATAGAGTCCAGCCCAGCCCTAACACCTGAACTAAACCATGGCACCAAGTACCACATCCAGTCTTTTTTAAAACACATCCAGAGATGGTGACTCCACCACCTCCCCAGGCAGATAATTCCAGTACTTTATCACTCTTTCTGTAAAAAACTTTTTCCTAACATCCAAGCTATATTTCCCTTGGTGCGGCTTGCGACTGCATCCTCTCGTTCTGTCAGCTGCTGCCTGGAGAAAGAGACCAACCCCACTTGACTACAACCACCGTTCAGGGAGTTGTGGAGAGTGATAAGGTCACCTACAGGTGTCAGTTTCTTCAGTGTCAGATGGTGAGCCACTATCCCAGAGCAAGGTCACTTGCAAGCAGGCTGTGTGACAAGGAAGCAGAGCCTTGTCCTGTGGTAGGGATACTGCCTTTGGGCTTGGTAGTGCTGGGTTCATAGTTCAGTTTTGGAGATCTTTTCCAACCCAAATGATTCCATGATTCTAAATTCAGAGCTGAAGAAAAGGAATATTTCATATCATCCATCCTTCTTGCTGTAAATACCACCCTTGGGTGGATGAGTTTATTTCACTTCCCAGCTACTTTACCCTGTGGACCTCACTCCCCTCTTAGCTGTCAGCTCTGAATGAAGGGTCTGACTGCATTTCAAGATCAGATCTTCTCCCTCCAAAATGCATGTGAAGGGAGAATTCAGATGTCCAGGCAGGTCTCTTCCTAACACTCACTTGTCAGCAAGAGAAAATGAATACACCAAAGCATAGGTGAGTTCAGGGGGCCAATCTCATTCCTCTTTGTCAATCACATATTTAAAATTTTGGGGCTAAATTGTTCTCAGTGGAAGGTGTGGGGATTTTATTGATGTATCCTACAGGAGGGTGCTGCCTTTGACAGATGTCCTTCTGGTGTCAAAAGCCCAACTATTCCCACCCATTTCCTTTACAGAAACTTGTCCCTTAAACCTCATATCACAAGCATTTTGGATCAAAGCCACCCAGGTGGAATTAACCAAAGCTGCTTTGTGTGTTCATGCTTCCCACTGCCTCTTTCATGTTGTGATCAATGGGTTGAGCGGATTTAGATTGATTTTGAAGAGACTTTCACATTATTCTGAATATTTTCCAGGAGGTTATGGCTGTTCTACCTGTCCAGTTCTGTCTCTCTGCCATACTCACCATTGACCATTCTCTCCTTCCTGCACAAATTGCACTAAATCTCCATCCTCAAGGGTAAGAGAATCTGGGAAGCAGCTGTCAAAACTGCCTTCGACCCGGAAGAGATTGCTCCCCTAAAATGAATGAAACAAGGCACCATAAATAAAATCAGTATGGATGAAAGAACACTATGCAAGATCAGTTAAATACTGAATTAGGCATTTCAAGCTGGCAGAGATTGCCAGAGTAGGCAATTGTGTTTTATCATGACCAGGTTAAACTTTGTTCAAAATTTGGATAGACCTGTTCTCTGTATTTAGACTTTAGGCTTAACCCACCAGCCATTATTCTGATAGAAAAATTGGGTTTGTGACTCCAGGTGAAGTTATCTGAAAAAATCTGAAATTACTTTTTCAATGACTCAGAGTTTTCCCTCACTTTTGTAGCAGGCAAAGTGACAGCTTACAAGTATGAGTGACTTTTTATGATCCTCATTCTGATCAACAAAAGTCTTGTAATAATCTTAGAACACTCGAGATCAAATTTCCATCTTTTGTATTCCCACACATCCATGGATTAAAGGCTGGTATGAACCCAAACTTTGCAGGTTACATTGTGAACCTTAGAGAGGAGGAAGCTGTGCTAGGAAAGGGCAGTGTAATTTTAAAAAGCAATTACATTGTTAGGGTTTGTCTCTTCCTCCAAATCAGAAGAGTTGGAGAGTTCATCCATGCTGGAAGGGATGGCTTCAAAATCTTCAAATGTATCTAGAGAAGGCATTTGTCTGCTGGGCCAACCTTTTCAAAAGAGATAAATCAGAAAGAGTTAGCTATCAGACATTAGCCTCTTTGAGAATCAGTCTTTGTAAAATAAATGTCACAGATTCACTTCCCACTCTTCCACTTACCAAATTTCTGGCACTTTTTTATAGCTTATTCCATGGTTTTGCCATAAAAATTATGTCACAGCCATTATTCTGTCTCTAAAAGCCTGTACCACTCGCTGTCCCTGGTGTGAAAGCAGCGTGTGTGGCTGCAGTGTTCATACCCATGGATACTTCCAGTGCTCAGCATTGCTCAATCCCTTCAGCTCAGGAGGTACAAAAAACAAGGACCAGGAATCTTCCTGCAGAGCAAATGATAACTTGTGCTGACATGGCTTTCAGAAGGCCACGATCATTCAGTTTCCAGCTTACCTGCACATGTTTAAGTACAAAGCCATGGAATTTTGATCACCATCTCACCCCAAGGTGATGTTACCACCTGAGCAATTTACAGTACTATACCCTGGGGCAGGCTGCAAGTGCAGGGAAGGAACAGAGTAAACAGCAAGGCACAAAGACAACCAGGGGATGAGGAGAGATCTCAGTCATATTTGTGCTGTTACCTGTCTTACTGCATGATTTTCACCAGAACCACCCCAACCCAGTGGAATGGACTCAGTGAGAGATTTCCAGCCCAAGCTCAACATTCAGTCTCTCTTCACCTAAAAAGGCATGTCCATAGGATGTATCCTGAGGGAAACTGAGGCTCTGCCTGAGGCTCCCATGGTGAAAGGATAGCTCAGGCTCTTTTGTGAAGATGACACTCATCATCTGCACTTTGATGCACTTGATGCCTGTCACTTTTCTGGTGGGGATGGGAATGACTACAGTCCAGTTCAGAGGAAACAGACCTTGGATCTACCAAATGATTCTGCAACCCTGACAGACACAAGCTGAATGGAATTAGTCAATTTACCAGGTGCTTTCCTAATTAATGTACCTGCTGGGCATTAGCTGATTCACAGGGACTTGGGCTGAGCAGATGTTGAACCAAGTTCTTTATATCCTGTGGGTCATTGCTCTCAACAAGGCAAAGTTCTGACCACAAGGCATGGAGACAGATGCTCACACAGTGGGACTATGCGCATCCCAGCACTCTCGACCCACACCAAAACCTGGCCTGAGACAATACAAAACCAAAGCCAGGCAGTTCAGGCAGTAAACAGAAAGGTGACCTGATCTGGGAGAAATAGGTTTATTAATTGGTTTATTGAATCCCTCCCCATGCACATCCTCTGTGCTATAAGCACCGGCTGGTACAACACGTGGTCATGCAGCTCTGCAGCCCCTTCTGCCAGCCAGGAACTGTCTGCTCCAACAACTGCAACCCAGTTACAAGGGACACAGGGACCTTCTTCCAGCACAGCTGCATCCCCAGCTACCACCCCACAGGTGTGGTCTGGTCATCTGTACTTCTAAAGGTGTGAATCAGCCTCTGAAGTGACACTGTCCTGTACCAGTTTATTCACAGCAGCAAGACTAGCAAAAATCTAAACATACAAGGATATTCTGATTCTAATTAACTTCAAACTGCTACTGCAATTTCAGTTTAAATTCACAGGCTGGACTACAAACACCAAGAGAACAAGATATTCCTCCACTCCATTAGACAAAACTTCCACAGTCTTTTGCCACTGTAATTTAGAAACCTCATCAGCAAGAATTCCTTACAAATACATGCATCAGCCTCCCTCTTCCATACAAATCACTATTCTAATTACAGAGACTAAGAAACAGCTTGCTTCTCATGCTTAATTATTATAAAATAAGATCAAATTCTGAGCTCTCTGCTTTCAATTACAAGATTTTTTTTTTTATCCTGACCTCAGAAAACCAGAATCTGGGGCATTGTTTCTAAGCTAGTGATCCAAGCTTGTTCTTTCATTGTTTTGATGGGAAATAATATTCACCAAAAGCAAAAATGCTCCTTATTATAAAGAGAGTAAGTATTATCATGAATTTAGTTTGCACTCTCAAATTGTACAAATACTTTAATTTTGTTTACCTGTCTGTGAAGCAGATCTAGGCACTGATCTCGTGGTGGAACCGGCATTACATTTAGTCTGGGCCAAAATGGTGTTCTCAAAAGCATCTGTGACAGGAAGTACAATTTGTGTCTTCAAGGTGAAACAGTGACCAGACAACCAGTACAAAGTGAATTCCTGCATCACCTCTGCAACTGACAGTCTCTTTAACAAACAGGTGGACTGTGGTCCAACAGTTATAAAAGAGGAGACACATGACCAGCACAAATGAGTGAAAGGACAGCAGCATTCCACAGAAAAACTGTAAGTCTGAGAAGGACAGAGAACAGCGAAATGAATCAAACAGAAGTATTGATGTTAATTAAGGAAGACAATTGCTGAGTGAACAGTGCAGTGTTCTATTTCATTACAGCATCCTTACCCATCTTTAACATAGTTTCCTTGCAGCATTTCAAATCATTTTGTAGGTGATAATCCTGTGGTTTTGATCCTAATCCATATAGCAGCAAAAGGGGACCAGGTAGGCCACAAATTAATGAATTCACTCTTGATGAATGCAACAGAATTTTTTGGGGCGAATCCCTTGTGTTATTACCTCAGTCAGAGCCCTGGCAATATCTTCTGGTAGAGGGGTAATAGTGCTCATTGTTTCCTACTTAAAGGTACTCAGTCTGCTGAGGGATGCTGTGCAGCAGTACCTTGTTTTTAACCTGTGAGGAGCAAGTCAGTTCTATGCTGCAGATAGTTCTTGCACCTTAAAATCCTCCCTGCCTCTGCAGCCACAGGGAATGCTGAGATCAGGGCATCTGTCAGTGAGGAAAGCAAGGCATAAACCCCACACTTTGGGAAATTCTGGTGCTAGGTGCCAGGATTGTTCTAAACATGTGTCTAGGGGTCACTGGCAAAAGGAAATATTCTGCAAACAGGAAAACTACTTCTGCTGTCTCTGAATTGTTTCTTTCAACTTCTCTGTTCCAGTCTCCTCTTCTGCTGGGAGTGCCATGGGAGATAGCTCTAATATTTCACCAATTCCATCACTGACCTGTTCACCAGCTCTTCCTACCAAGCTTTTGTGCAGAACAACACGATGCTATGAAAGGATTCCTCAGCCCACATCTCTCTTCTGCCTGTCCTGCAACAGAACTATCTGTCTTCATGTATCCCCCTAAGGCAAATGGTCAGGTAAAGGGGAAAGCTGACAGTGGAAACTGGTGATCTTTCAGTGGCTGAGGAACAGCATTTCAATTTAACTCTTCGGTATTGTTTATTAAACAGTAATTTATGAATCTGATGCAACAAATTGGTGGAAATTCTGCTTGTCTGAAATGAAACACTGCACTTGAAATGGCTATTAATGCACACTCTAGCCTCTCCTGTAGTCTTCATGCATATGGCTCCTGCTTCTCTCATTAGGAGTAGACACTAACAAGGGAGGAGGGATGCAAGTGGCTGGACTGCAGGTGAAGGTGAAAAGTAGCCCCTTGGCTCCCTGCTACTGTTCCCTGTGGAGGGAGGCAGAGCCAGGCAGCAAATCCAGATCCTGGTGACAATCTAGCGCTTTACTTCCCAAAACAGGCAGAGAACTGGGGGTTTCATTTAGGCCCATGCCTAGGTGAATATGAATGCAGGGGACAGGCAAGGGAGACAGTAAAGCTCTCTTAATCCCAATTATGCAGATAAATTGACCCTAACCCCCTGATGGACTCCAGTGTCATCCACCAGCTGTGATGAGATGTGAATTCAGTGAATAATATCAGACGAGGTTTTCATGCAGGATGGAAATACTCCTACCTTCAAACCCCAGGGGAGTTGGGTCACTCTTTATTTCATGTCTCTTGACTTTAACTGCAGGAACAAGGGGACCTGTGTGAAGTTTACAGAGTCACAAGACTGTAAATATTGTTAAAGAAGAAACTTGCTTTCCTACCACCTCAAAACACTGACTACCTAACACTTTTCATTTCACCCAGAAGAATGACCAGCCCCTAGGTTCTAGGTGGTGAAGATACACACTTCTGGGAAGCAGATAGGGAAGAGACCCCTTTTGTCAGAAGATATTGAGACATCACAGCAAAAGACTCTGCTTCCCTTCAGGTCTCACAGAAGTTCCCTCTCACTCTTGCCCAGGAGATGGCACTAATGCAGCCAGACCCGCAGCCCCAGCCTTCCCCGTGAGGCTGGCAGGGCACAGCCCACAAAGCCAACACTTTTGGCTCACAGAAGTGTGGGACGCCAGCCTCCCCTGAGGCCCGAGTGCACATGTTGGGGAGTGAGGATCAGACACAGCGGCAGCTGCAGCCCCAGGAGTGATGACCACAGCACCCTGGCTAGATCTGCATCTGGGCTGATGCTGAAACAAGACTCAGGCTTTGGTTCTGTTGTCACCTGAAATATTTTCTTAAAGCAGATGATGTAAATAAAACACTAAATTGAAGAGCACTGATTCTGTTTTCTAGTTTTGAAAATCATTGCAGAAGTGGCTTTCTCAGTATCCCAAGAGATTGCCAACAGTCTTTGGGCAGACAGGATTCTAGGACAGGACTTTTTGATATGAAACTGTAACAAATTTTAAATTTCACTGCAATTCACACACACTGTCTTTGATAAACCACATTAAAGAATAACCCTTGTTTGCCCATTTTCTTTGTACACATGTGTTTCAATCTGTTCCTCAGCTTTGAAAATAATTACTAGGAAATAATTCAGTCTTCCCATAATTTAGCAACTGATCATGTACTTCTGAATTGTTGCTGATGGCAAAAAGCTGTAATAACTTCCATGTGAGGATGTTCTAGTGCTGTGGTCTAAGGGTGCTGTCAAAGAAACATTTGCAGGTTGAGACTATCTTTGAGACTATCACATCCTTCCTCTGCCCATGAACCCCACCGCGTCCTCATTCCCTGCCAGCCTCATTGCAGCCAAGGATGTGGCTCATATCCTTCACAGCTGCTGAGAAGGCAACAGATACTGAGCAACTTTCTTCCTGACAAGTATAGAGCAGAGATTTTTATACAAATTAATTCTTCCATTTTTCCTTCTATTTTGATTCATGAATTGTCCTGAAAATCTTAACCTTGCAAATCAGTTCCTCCACTCCATTCCAAGAACTACTTCCAAAAGGCAGTATAATCAGAATTCCATGTAAGACCGTAAGTTCTGTTGTTAAAATTGTCCCTGACATGTAGGCATGTGTGCCCACAATGCTACTGATTTTCAAAACAATCAATTTGCCTAAATGCATGGGTTGCTTTTGAGTTTAAATCTAGGCACTAGTACACTAACATATATTTTGTAAAAGTGCCTTTTCTAAAGCTAAATAAAGCACATAAATAAAACTTCCATAAGCTCCCATACAAACTGCATAGAGTTCAGTGCATTCTGCACCCAACTCCCTTACACATAGGAAAATCTCCCTACAAACATAGTTTATAATCATAACAGTGATATTGCTAAACATAATTAAAACTGGCATCTATTGTTCCTCTGTTTTTGGTTTGGTATCATCTTTCTTGCTATCTGATATCTGCAATGCAATGAGGACAGTTTCTCCTTCTTGAAAGCAAAAGTTCTAAAGAGCTTTAAGGAAACAGAGAAATAATTTCAATTGAACATCAGTTAATCCAAACCAGGGAGAAGCTGGAAACCTAACCCCATATCAGCCAAAAATTAATCCCATTTCCATGGACACCAGGAACACTTTTTGAAGCCTACAGTGGAGAAAGTGGAAAGAGTCTGTGTGCTGGCAGCACACCTCAATACACATTCAAAATGTCCTGGCCTGCCTCCCTGCAGGTGTTGCAGTGGTGCTGACCCTTCTTCTACTGGAACCTCCTGCCTTTGTACAAGCTGAGCCTGAGGCACTCTCTCTGTGAGCAGCATTTGGAGGTGAATGTGTCAGGCAGCAGGCAGGGAGAGGGGAGCTAAGCAAGCAGCATGACAGTACCTTTGGTCACAGCAGAAGCATTAACTGTGGTGCTGATGGAGGAGGCTAGGGAAAAGCGACGGGTAACTTCTCTGTCCTTAGACTCTGGATCTGGGAGAATAGACAGATGCAATGCAGGGCAGGGTTAGAGGTTAGTAAGCACTGAGGGTAAAAGATGTTCAAAGCAAAGCTGCAGCTGGAAAAGGGTAAAGAAAAGAAAGGTTGCTCCTCTAAAACAGACAGGAGAAATAGCCTCAACAAAGTGAAAAGCACACAAAGTGCTATTATGAACATATTTTCAAAGCAATTCCAATTGCACCAATTTTAATACTTCAGGAAAGAGATTTATGCCAATTATTATTTTAGCAACCAACCAGTGTCCAAATACAGCTACAAAACACAGAGAAATGGCATGATGGCTCAAATGGGCTATGTGTCTACAGATGATGTTTGGATCATTTTAGACACTGAACTGCTTGTTCTGTGATGACTGACCTGAAATACACTGAAAAACAAGCATGAATGGTTTGGAGTTCACATTTGTCATTTCTAAAATTTAACTGTGTGAATGCCTGAAAACATTCTCCGAGCTTCCATCTTTACCACTGCAAACTAGCTTGGAAAAAGTGAAGGCTACATAGTAGATTTTTGTTTCCTTATTTAGCATCCTGCCTTTTCTCTAAGTCTGCTCAGGAGTAAAGACACAGCTTTCCCACATTTCACTAAGAGATGAAGTTGTGCCCACACCAAGGAATATGGACTTGGCTCTGCAAACCAGGATGGCTAATGCTGACCCAATGGTGGGGAGACGCAGGGTGCTTTGAGTGTGGACTTTCGATACACTTTGGTGCCAGCTCTGGGATGGCTGCCTCAGGGATCTCTGCACTGATGGAGCACAGGATGCTAAAGTTTATTCTCCAGACATCAACATTCCTTTGGCCAAAAAATCACCAAAATGATTATATACAACATTTTCTAGCCTGTCATATCCAGCCTAAGCAGGCAGTTCAGCATTTCTCTTGAGCATCCATGCTCCACTGCCAGTTGATACTCAATCTCATTTTCACCCTAGTTAGTTGGGTAAAATATTTGGTTATATTGTTTAGACCTTCCTATTTAAACAATATTGGTTATATTGTTTAGACCTTCCTTTTTATGTGCTCTGGACAGGAACAGACACAACAGGTCTGAACCTAAGTACGCTCAGCTCAACACACCATACTTCACCATGGCCAGTAACAAAAACCTTTAAACAAAATGTTCAGGAGCAGGACAAGCTGATTGCAGACATTTCCCTGTTCATTTCTCCCAGCTCCCAATCTGCCTCAGCAGCCAGCCCATGCAGGGATTTGCCTGTGGGAATGACCACGCTCTGCTGGCCACCTAGCCTGTCTGCCAGTGGTTCCCTCTGGCCAGGAGCAGGTCAGCAGCAGATCAGCACCACAAAGTGAAATGGGGCATTGTGCAAGAGGTGTTCCACAGGAATCTCAAATAAGCAGACCCAGCAAGGCTTTGAACTCAGAATACCTACAGCAGAGAGGGTACAAACTCTTCTGAGCTGTGCTTCACTGCCTGGAGCACTGAATACAAAGCAAGACATTTCATATGACAAGGAAAAACTCAAATAAAAAAGTAAAAGGGACCCCAAACAAAATTGTAGATCTAAACTTGCAAAAATTATGACATTATTTCTGAAATCTGTGTTTTGTCATTGATTTTCCTGAGTCACAAGATCTAAACCCTGCTTATTTTTATATTCACATTAAACTTTGTTTGTCCATCTTGAACCTCACTACCACATGCACCCTTAATCTTGTAGCCAGAATCTTGCAGCAGTGCAGACTCTTGGTTCATTCTTATCTACTTTATCAATTATAACTTAATGCTTCTGTATTTCTGCTTTTATGCTTTCATCTTGGTTCTTCCTCCTTTGATGCTCACGCTCTCCATCACTGCATCCTAACCCTTTGTTTCACAGAGGAAATATTTGTCAGAACAGGAGAAAAGCCACACAAAATCAATAAAGGGAGTAATTAGAGTATCTTTTCAGAAAGTTATGTAAGTAGTCATTCAATTTAATTTCTATTCATATTTCTTTCTTTCCTCTAAAGTCTCTTCCTTGTACAGCCATCACAGGAACTTGCAATGCTCTCTGTTCATGGATATCTACTAAACAGTTATGCAAAAGTACTCAAAACACAGCATTTTACAGTGTCATATAACAAAATTAAGTGGAATAAAACCCCAGATTTCCTGTTCCCCACTAGGCCACAGCTGAACAATATTTGGAAAAACAAAGACATCCAATCAATGAATGATTTCACACATTAAAATCTCATGTAGCACAACAGATATGATATCCTTCTTCAAGCCTGTAAGCTGCTGAAAGAAGTTCAGTGGATCATTTAAAGCCAGTTCACACTTTGACCCTTGAGAGAAACTGGAAACAAATGTTGTTTGCACAATGCACCAGTAAAAGACCAAACCAGCCAACCCAGAGGCTGCCTTGCCAATGCTGCTGTGGGAGCAATTTTTGGTGACGGTGTCTTGGAGCAGAGGACCCACTTGTGTGCACCAGAAAGGAGCATTTGGGTGAGATGCAGCAGCACTTTAGGAAATGGTGATGGATGGCACCATGGGATGGAGAGAACATTGTGGGAGTGCAGGAGACAGATGGCCTGAGACCAAATGCTGCATGGGTGATTTTACCTTTGGGTGGAGCTCTGCGGTTGGAAAGACCTTGCAATGTGAATCGCTTTCTAGCAAGCGCTGTGCGCTCAAGGTTAAGGCTGCTGGAAGCATCAACTAGGAGAGAGAGGGAGAGGGAAGAGAAATAAGGAAGGAAGGGTCAGCTGTTCAGCTTATGGGAAAGGAAAGGTTAGCACTGGATGACAACTCAAAATAAATAGATTTTGATTCAGTTCAAGCCTGAGCAAGAGCTAATCAATTAGAAAGGTGACATGAGGTCAGGGTGAGTTATCCAGTTGAACCAAACAGAGCCCCTGGGTTGAGTTTGGCTCACTGAGTTTTAATGGAGAACAACAACAAAACAAAACCAAAGAATAACAGGTGAAGGGAGGTAACTCTTATCAAAGGAAAATACAATTTAGCAGCAAGCTAGTGCCTCCTGTTATGGAAACACATCATTGGTTGGAACAGCAAGTTGTAGGGACAAATAAGAGAAGAAGCCTTGCAGTGCAGGACATGCAAATGTTGCGAGCAGTCCCACTTCTGCAATCCAGCACTGGCACCGAAGAGTCTGCCCTCACCAGCCCTGTGGCTGGTACATCTTCAGCCTTACCTGCTGAAGCCTTTCTAAAGCCTCTGAAGCTGGCAGAGTTATGCAACTGATCTCTTGATTTGCTGGGATGTAAGGATGCCATGCCAGCAAAGCTCACGTGCCAGGCTCCTGCATGAACAATCAGCCATGCTGTCTGACAGCTGCCTCTGCAGAGATCAGTCACAGATGGATCGAGGTCCTGAGGCTCTGGGCTTGAAAGATACTCAGTTACTCACATTGCAGGAAACAGGTGGACCTAGACCAAGCCCCCAGATCCACACATTCCTACTAAATCCTCCATCTGTTCCTTTCTTGGTGTGGGCAGATAACACCCAGAAGGTTTATGGCAAAGGAGCAGGAGAAAAACCATGTGTTGGGTACCTGGTTGTGAACCTTGGGATTTAGCCAATATATTTTCCTCCTCTTTATTTCATAGGCTGTCACATGAAAATCTTTAAAGGGACAAATGAAGACCAAAAGTACAAAGGGAACACAAAGAGACAGTGATTCCACACTGACAGACAAGCAACAGAGAGACAAGCTGTGCTTCCAAAAGAAAGTGCATCCCATCACTTCCTGATTTGCAGCCAAGATAATCCAGGATCCGAGGTGTCTGCATGCACAGATTTTAACAACACAGAAGAATTATTTCACTGTGGTTCAGCTCCTTCTACCCAGTGCTCAGTGCCAACTCTGGGCCAGGCAGTTGCATCTCGTGAGGAGCTGCTTCTGAGCAGTGGCGTCAGCTGTGGGGCCTTTGGTTTTCAGACAATCTGTGTGGGCCATTCCCTGCCATGGCTGCTCCCACTGCCAGGCAATCTTTGTACAGATACTGTAGCTTATAAAGAATTCAAAAAATGGTACATAAAATATACTTACTTTCTGTTTTCTTAGGGCAAGAAAATCCATAGCATTTAATTATCAGAGAGTCCTACAGGGAGTACAGCAGTGCATGTGTAGGGGGGTGGGTTCCTGTGTTAGTTCTTCAGCTCTGCGATTGAATCACTACACTGAGGGACCCCTTTGCATTTCACAAGTCCCCACAGCCTCTCAGCACCAGCAAAGCATTGGCCACTGGTGTCTAAACTCATGTTGTCTCCACCTGAGTTATTTCAAACCTTTTCCTTCATTCTGTAGATATACCAAATAACCCTGGAAACTATTTCCAAATATAATAAGAACCAGGTCCTGATGGGCAGCAAGTTGAACAAGAGCCTGCAATGCATCCTTGTGGCAAAGAAAGCAAACAGCATCCTGGGCTGCATTGGGCAGAGCTGTGCCAGCAGTTCAGGGAGGTGATGCTTCCCCTCAGAACAAGAGAGACACTCCTGCAGTGCTGTCCTGTCCTGGGCTCCTCAGGACTTGGGCATACTCAAGTAAATCCAGTGAAAGCTGTGGAGATCATGAAAGGATTGCCATAGCTGACATGAGGAGAGAGTGAAAGAGCTGTGATTGCACAGCCTGGAGAAGAAAAGGCTCAGGAGGATCTTATAAAATAAAGAAGATGGAGCCAGATGCTTCTCAGTGGAGCCCAGCGAAAGGATGAGAGAGGCAATGGGCACAAATTGAAATATGGGAAATTCCATTTAAAAATGTGAAAAACCTTTCTACTGTGAAAGGGGTTAAACCTAGGACAGCGTCCCCATGGTGAATGATGGAGTCACCATCCTTGGAGCTGTTCAGAACCCAAATGGACATGGTTGTGAGCAAATTGCTGCAGCTGACTCTGCTCTGAGCAGGGGGTCCCCACAGGTTCCTGCAGGATTTGCTTCCATGATATTTCAAGGCAGTGACTCCACCAGTCAGGTCCACACAAAACACTGGTTTACATTAGAAAACTGGCACAGGTACTTATCAATAAGAGTAACAAAACTGAAAAAGCTTGTCAATAGTACCCTCCCCTTCTGTACTGCAGAAACTCCCCAATATTCTAAAATAATCTGTGTTCACAGTAACTACACTGATATTGGAAGCATTTTACAGGCAGTAGGTGGCACAAAGAGACAGTTTTGGCAGAGCCCCAGGCTCTGTGCAGGGTGTTGGGACATTTTTGAGTTCAGGCCCCTGCAAATCCCCAACCAGAGGTGCCTCACAGGGACACAAACTCGAGTTTTGGTGGGACATCTAGAGCTAGAGAGCATTTTGCTTGTTCTGCAGAGCGAGGTTTGCAGCTCAGGATGCACAGGACACCCGAAACACCAAACAAGAATGGACTCACTGCCCAGCTCTGCAGGAAGAGCCACCCACCAGAGGATGAGGATGCTCTGGGCTGAGCCAGTGGGATCCCAGCCAGAGCCCTGAGGAGCTGCTCATGGGAAAGCAGAAGACAGAAGAATGACAATCAGCACGGAATGTGATCCCAGTTCCCACACTTGAGTAAGCTGGACAGTTAGAAAGCATTAGTAATCTTCATGGAATTTTTTTTTTTAAATGGGGTTTATAAATTTAAAAGGAAAAGCTACTTTTCCACTTTTTTTAATTTAAAAAAAAAAAAAAGCCTGAATGTTTTAAAAATAAAATTTTACTGAAACAAAATTTTAAGATTGGGTTTTTAAATGAAGAATCTATAACTTTTCTTCCCAGCATGAAAACCTAATGTGATGAAAAATATTTTTGAGAAGAGCCCATTTTTCCAAGACAGTTATTCCATTTTCTTTTTTATTATCTTTATTTTTAAAGGCACTGTTACCTTACAACTCATTTGGGCATTAATCTCTTTAGACCTCACCATTTTCTTTTTTCATATTACTAGAAAATTCTTTGTTCAACATTAGGAAGTACTGCCTGAAAGAGAAACTGCTATCAAAAGATTTTCTGTTCCTGCTACTGTAAGATGAGATTCAGTTTCTTTATAGTGTTTATTTTAACCTCTGTTGTATAGAAGATCTATTGTACTTATGGCCTCAAATAATGGAGGGACTTTCTGTGACTGCCTGTGGATTTATTTACTGTACACCTGGGGAGAACTGATATACACAGAGGAGGCAAAAAAACTCTCCTTGACTTAAAGCATGGAAATCAGCTAGCAAAGTCTGTAGAAAAAAATTAAATTAAATATGTCTAGAAATCAGCTTCATCAGGATGCAGAAGGTTAAAACACACATGCTATTGTCCCCTAAGTTCTATTTTTAAACAACACAAGTTGTATAAAGAACACTCTAAAGCATCAAAACTCAGACTTAAAAACTCTAAACTCACAAATTTTCTTGGTACATCCATTCAGCTTTATAGCATTGTTTTTTTGATGTTGGGTTAAAACAGCATAGATTTAAAGTATTCCCATCAAACCCCAGAAATACGTGCAAATATAAAAATATTACCCTTTGGAAGCAAAAGCTCTGTCAGAACTCCTACCTCTCTTTTGTCTGGCGCTGGGACTGGAATTCCTGTTTTTATTGTTAGATGCATCCACATTTGATGCCTCAGATTTGTTTTCATATATACTTGATGACTTCCTGCTATACCTTGGGATAAAAGAAATACAGAAATAGTAACATCCCTGGTTAACATCTAATAAAGCACTGAGCACTAAGAATTCTTTTTTACCCTCAGACATGGAAGCCTAATGAACAAATGGCTAGTTTTAAAATGCTGTGTGCTATAAAAGCCTGCATCTGTGCAGGCATGTGTGGTGGGAAAAACTCATCCTGCCTCCTCTCCACACCACACAGTGAGGGATGTGCTTCATCAGATTTGAGAAGGGAAAAATGGAGAAACAAGCTGGTTGTCTGCACAAGTTCTTTTTGCAAGTGCAACAGATTTGAGAATTTGGAGTAGGAAGCCAGGTAAGAAAAGATAATCCAGATTTTCCAACCTTTGCAGCATAAATACATTTGTCTCCAGGAGAGAAATAGATACTGGATGGTCATGTAGAGGTTACACCATGCACAGAGCAACTTATGAATTCTATTGGTTTCCCCAACTTCTGTTTCTTCTGCTCTCTGGAACATGAATCCCAGTGGGATATCCCTGTCTGCAGCTGAATCACAAATGGGAGGATCCGCCTTAACAAACCTGCCCAGGACTGGCCTTGGGTCTGTAATGGGATGAGTGACCCTGTCCCAGGTTTGTAGGACATTCAAGATGCAAGGTCTTCTTGTGGCTCTTATCCTCATTGTTATGCAAATATCTGGTGGTTTAATCTGGGTGTTTGACTGTTATCTTTGGCAAACTGCTCCACACAAATCATTGTATCTACACATTTGAAATACTCTTTGCCAAGGTGCTTGTTATTGACATGTATCAGCAATTAAACTGCTGCTTACAATTAACAGTGAACTGCTACACTTAGCAGTTTGTTCTGCTGTAAGGGAAGATCTGAGATATGATTAAAAATTTAAATTCAAATGCTAGAGATCTGTAAATACCTTTTCTAATATAAAGCAATCCAGGACTCATTGTTTTGCATTTGAACTTCTGACCTGTTTCTGATGGAACCTTAGCAAGGTCTCTGTTACCTCCTGTACTAAATCAAAATGTGATTTTGCAGACTAATGTCAGGTACAAAATGGGGCTCAAAATAAATATGGGAACAAATCCAAAGAACGCTCACATTTCCTCATTCTTTTTTGTCTCTTTCTTCCTAGCTAGGCTGGGATTACTGTGAAACATGCAGCTGACAGAGTTTACAAGATTTACAGCTGTGAGAAAGACACCAAAAAAATACACAAGCTTTTCTGAAACAGCATCTGCAGCCAAATTCCAAGAGTTTGTGTTTATCCATGTTCACAGGATATTTTTACATGGATGTATGACTGCACCAGTCATTTCCAACAGAGCAGATAGTTAAGCAGTTAGAACAATAGACTATTTAAGTTTCATATGTTTAAATAGATTAGAAAACAATACAAAGGGATCATTTCATTATCAATGAAATGCAGCAACCATCCCTTGAGAGAGACATACCAGCAATAGATACCACAGGGCATCCCATTTTAGAATTAAACACTGGACAAATTTGGAGAGAGAGGGAGAATTGAAATAGATTGAACAGGACTTAGGGACACTCAGTAACTGCCTGTATTAAGGACACTGTCTCTAAGTGTCCCTTTTCCCAACACCTTAGCTCCAATCCCAAGTCAGAACCGCCTGATCTCATGGAATTTCAGTCCCAGGTGATGTTGGTGGCATGTAAACAGTAAAGGGGATAATCTTTGTCATGGAACAGATAGAGCCTGGGGAAGGGAAAGCATCCTGCAAGCAGATTTCCCCATTGTCAGAGCAGAGGTTTGACAATTCCAGCAGAGTCACTGTCACACATGGGCAACCCAGGAGTAGATAACATGTCAGTGATTAATTAGCTCCGTCTGCTGGCAGAGCACTGATGATGCTGGCTGCTCTTCAGCCAATGCTGTCTCCACTGGTCTCCAGCACCTCTCACAGCTGGGGCTGCTTGGTCACATCAGTCATGAGCACAGGCTGTGCCACATCCTGGCTATCACAGTCCAGCTTTTTCCCCTCCTTGCCTCCACCCAGCATCCCAGAACAGGAGCAGAAAGGACTCCCCAGTCCGAGGAGCTCTGCATCCACCGTTTCACATCCACTGCTGCAAAGCCAGCTTGGTGCTGCAATTCTGCTGCCCCTGTTCCTCTTGGGGACACATAGTACAGATAATGGGACACCCTGAACTTTATGCCATTCACCACAGCCCAGAGCACTGTTCTTTCATGAAGACTCACTGTATTCCTCCTGTTCCTATAATAACGCAGCATTTGGAGCAGGAGCATCTGAGCATCTGACCTCTTTTTCTGGCACAGCTGGCAGAGTGAGGGCAACAAACACTTCATTTTTCCTTTAGTTTAATCCACTCTAGGACAAATAGCTGATCACATGGTCTTTCCTCCTGGAGTTAATTAATTTTCTCTTGACATATTTTGTCTATAATTTCTGCTCTGGAAAATCTCACTTTAAGAGCCTTATAAGAAGGACAACACATCTGGATTCTTCTGAAACATTTTTGCGATTGCACTTCATATCTTACTGGAATAATTTTCTCCTATCCCCAAGGTGGTTCTGCTTAAAGATTCCCACCCTTGAACCCTGAACAAAGCAATTTAACCAAGTCTAGAGAAAAAATGGTGCAGGATTAATAGCACTACATCTGTTTAATATTTCTTGCATTGAGTTGTACAACTCTCAAAGGCTGGCTGTTACCTGAAATCTCCTGGTTTTGATCCTGCTAAAATTTTACAGTGATATCCCATGACAATTTACATTAAACTTGCCCAGTAACTGGGTCATTACAAAACTTCGCTGACAGCTCCATTTAAGATCTTGGAAATGTTCCAATACTTTTTGTCTAAACTTGAGTTGATCTTTGAAATTAATTCTGCATTGTGATATTACTTCTCTCTTAAGCAAACCTTTATCTGTATTTATATATCTTTAAATATATAAAGACAATTGAGTAAATTGAAGACAATTGAAGACAATTGAGTAAATTCATACCCAGGAAGCTAAACACAAAAACCTAAGAATTTATGTACTGCAAAAGCACAAACGCAAGACAAAACATGACCCTGATATGTCAAGGCAGCTGTGGTTACCTGCTTGCATTGGAGGAATCCATTGGTGCATGATACACACTCTCAGTGATTCTTTGGTGCAGTTGACTTGCTTCTGTTAAAGAAAAAGTAAAAAGAAGTTGCTCCAAAATGTGTAAGTTGCTTCTATGTTTATATAGAACTTGGGAGAGAGAAACAGGAGAGGAGAGATTTTGACTGCCACTGCAATCAAAATGGAATGCTTGTGCTTGAAGAGAAAGGCATATTAAGATCTTCATGAAACCTTTTAGGTCATGGAACAATTCTTCTACTTACATTTTTTCACCACTAAAGAGACTTCTTACCCTGCTACCTTCCCTTTTCTCTGTATCTCTTCCTAACTAACTGCAAGGTATGGTCCTAGAGAAAGGACACAGTGGCCCTTTTTCCCAGAATACAAGTTTTGTGGCTCAGCTTTTTCTGGATTTAGGAACACACATCCATCAGTCCTTTTACATACTCAGCTACATAGCAGAATATATCCCCATATCTCTGCAGAATGCTTTTGCTCAGCATCCTGGGCAAACAGCAGTCAGAAAATGTTATTCATATGCTACTTGTTCATGCTTTTTGCAGGGCCACAAGTAGCAACAGGCTTGTACTTTGTCCAGTAAATGCTGAGTGAAGAAAAATTATAAGATAGTTGCTCAGAGCCTGGATTTCAGGACCAGGAGAGTCAGACACTGAGAAGTGAGGAAGCAATGGAAGGAGCTGCTTGCAAACTCTCACATTGCTGAGATCCCTGGGCTATTTCACTCTGAAAAAAGATGAACCTCCCATCAGTGAAGTGACAAGGGGACAGGGCAGCACTGAAAGATTAAACTCAAGTCCTTTGCTGGTGGGGTACAAATGCCCATGCTGGGTGGTGAGTGGGAAGTGGCTCCATTCTGGGATTGGCAACTGATTCATGTCCTTAGACAGATCCCTTAAGCTTTGCCTGCAAGGGACAGCTATGTTTGGGACTGGTGGATCAAGGTGCTGCCCAAAGCCTTGTTAATGTCCCATGCTGACTGCAATATCTGACAGGGCTGGGTACACACCAAGTGTTTGGACACCAGTGACCCATATTTTAAACTATTTATCACATCCTGTGGCCGCCTTCTCTGCCCTTCACTCATTCATCTCAGCTGGTTCCTTCCAACATTCCAACCCCCTGTGCAACTCCTAACAACAGTCATTTAAAAACAGCCGAACAAACAAATATATCCCTCTTCCTTCTCCCATTGCAATGCTCAATTGTAAAAATATCCAGTCTTGGATTAAGGCCTCTTCTTTTGTGAGTCTTTAGAAACAGAAAGTTTAAAACCACAGGACAAAGCGTGTGCTTCCTGACACCAGTTATTGTAGTAAGGGGTTTGATTAATGTGATCATTTGGGAAAAGGCAATGGGAAGAGTTGCAATAGCATATGAGATCAAGTTTATACCCTCTGACTGCTGTTCTGCTCAATTCACAATAAGGGAAAACTTGACTTTACCCATAGAGTAGGATGAAAGTCACCCTTGGATGGTCTTGAGACTAGACTGAATAAAGTCTTGAGTAACCTTGTCTAACCAATAACTGACTCTGCTCTGAGCAGGACCTTGGACTGTGAGATCCTGAGGTCCCTTGAAGCCTGAGATATTCTAGAATCGTATGATCTTAGGGCAACACAATAAAGAACATCAAATTAAAAATGCTTCAATTGGTCTTGATTCCTGTATATTTTTCTTCTGGAAAATGCAAAGTAACTCTTGCTAATAGGTCTTGTATGCTATAGAGACTTCACAAATGCTCATCTGGGTAACATACAAGTTTAATTTCCTTTGCCTAGAAATACCAATGGGGGACTAGCACTCTATCCTATTAAATATGTACATTTTTCTCCATTAGCAACTCTTCTGTGGTAGCCTAAGTCACCAGCTTTTATACTTCAGAAGTAAATATTACAAACCATAACAAAAAGCCTCTAGATCCAGTCCTGAAACTGCATTAACAAGAATCTTGAGGTCTTTCCTCAGCAGTTCCTGATGAACTAATCACAGTAAAATTCAGAATAAAAAAGAGAAAGGATGAAGAAAAGATCAGTAACAAAAGACCAGGGTAGAAAACATTGTAAATGAGTGTATTGTTATGGGTTGGATCAAATTGTTGAGGCTAAGGTTTCCATAATTGTTTCCTTCTACCTAAGGAGGTTGTAAGAACTCATTGTCTTTCTGAAACAGACAATTAAAATAGAGGTGACCTCTAAAATTAAAGCACAGACACAGGTTTCCACCTCGGACAAAGTCTGCTTAGGAATTTAAAGGATGTGGGTGGAGAGGCTTTGCTGACATTGCTTTGAAGAGAGATGAGTGTATGAGAGAAGCAGAAAATGACGGACCAAGGTGAGAAGCAATGCCAAGATCCAGGAAAAGTCTGTGGGGCTTTTTGTCCTAAGAGAATGAATAGAATAGCATCTATGATAGCTATCATCACTATGTTCTTGTACCATCTGAAATAACCCGACTGAATTTTGTCTGTCTAGGATTCAATATCTTATATGAAAAAGGGTGTCATTATCTTAGGTGCTTAGGAGGCTTCAATCATTCATGGTGTTGAACATGTCACAAACCACCTTCATACTGACATCTCTGTGAGAGAGGGGAAATGTCATTAACCATATTTTACAGGGAGGTCACTAAGATGGAAAGATGGGACAACTGACATTTAGAACATAAGGTGGGTGACTAGATTTTAAAAAAACCTTCAAAGCCCAAAAAAAAACAAAGTAAACACTAGGACAGAGGGGCAGTTGCTGTGTACAGTCACGGATGTGGAAGGAGAACTTTTGATGCAGGTGTTGTGAGCAGACACAGAGTGCAGACCTCATCTCCTCACATGCTGGTGTAAAAGGATGCTTCTGGAGTTGTAGCTTGAGAGGGACAACAGAGGAAAACTATGTTCCTTGGACTAACTCTGAAAGGAATAGTTATCTATGTCATTTATAAAAGTCCAAGAAATTTTCTTTGATCAGGACATGGCTTTAAATCCCAGCAATGCTGAACTGCCCAGCTGGTCCTTGTTGGCTTCACTGATGGTACTGGCTGTCATTGTCCCAGCCCCATATTGTCACACACAGCTACAGAGGGAAGGACACATTCCCACTCTGTGAGCCCTACCTCTGCATGCTTCCAGCTGTCCTGTCAGGACTTTGCGGATCTCTGAAATCCAGGTGTTTTTCAGCTCAACAGAAGATGCCTGAGAACAAAAGAGAACAAGGCAAAGCAGATCCAGTTAAAACACTGCCAGTCACTGGGCTGCCCTGACCTACACTGGCTCTCAGTTTTGCCAAGGATTGGAACACTGTGGCCAGCTTTGAGCAGACACTCCTCAAGATGGAAGTTACCACAAACCTAAGGTCTTGTCCTTGCTTTTCTGTCTAGCATTCCAAGAAATTCCTCATTACTTTACTGCTTATTTTAGCTTTTCAGTGTCTACACAACAATGAAGCTTTCAATGGCTGTTGTTTCTGGAGTATATAGGACATTGTAAGAACATTCTTAAAAACAATTCAATTGAAAGGAAGTATAGCTCTTGGAAGCAGAAAGGATTGTCATTACCTGAATGATATAGACTTCTTCTCTGCCATTATACCAGATCTCAAACTTCTTGTTATCTCCTTTTACATTTTCTGTAATGCCCACAGTGCTCATCTATTTCAAAATAGAAAAGAAGAAGTTGGAATCTGGAAAATACCAGTAGTCTTTAAACTTGATCCTCTGAGAAGCATTTTTTAAAGGCTGCATTCACTTCTGACACCTTAGGGAGTCATTAAAAGTAAAATTCAGAGCATGTTATTTCTCAATATCTCATTTGCCATTCATCTTTTTGATTGCTAAAGGAAAAAAAGAATGTTCAAAATTAACCCAAGCTAATGTCTGATCATGAATTTATCCTCTTTTCTTTTATTGCTTGATCTGTGGATCAGTTTTAACCCCATTCTGGCTCTTGTTCACCTTGACAAATTTTCAGTTTTAGGAAGCCTCTTTTTTCACTTGCCATCATTGACCTTTTAAGGTGGGAGAAGATGAGGGATGGAATAGGGCTTTGTGAGATTTAATGACCAATCTGCAAGTCCAGATGACAGCAAAAACCTGAAGAAAATAATTCTAGATACCCTAAATTAAAAAGTCTTAATCACAATTTTGAAGTTCAGCTGTTCCTAACCAACTTCTCATCTTCCTCCTTTATTTGTTCATGCCTCTTACTTGCATTCACATCAGCATTTATTTAAAGATTTAGGCAGTGTTATGCCACCATTCCTTCTATCTCTACAGGAAGAAACTTGAAATATTTATATGAATTGGTTCAAATGTTTATATTAATTGGTTCAAGCCCTGGACCAGGTTCTGTTACAATTCCTGTCTGGGTACCTGTAATAAGTTTGGAACATGTTAGCTGGCTAAAGTCACAAGTGTCACACCAATGTTATAGGGGGAAAATATGGCCTACTTGTGATTCCCACCTTAAAATGTCCTGTCTCATATCTGGAAATTTCACTCTTGCAAATAAAAGGGCACTTCTACTGCACTGATTCATCTGTAGCTGTTACTCTCACAGAATATATCTACTCAACTGTGTCAATAGGAAAACTTGCAACAGAACTGCATTTGGAGGATGCCCATGGGCAGAACAATGATGGATGCAGGTCCACTCAGTCTGGCTCCTCTTTATGGGATGCTGGGCAAGAGCACACAGTGTCCCATTGCATCAAGTTGCAAAGAACAAGGTTCACATCTGCAGTTGCAGGATATATGGCTTGGTCTGTCTCCAGCCCAAGACTAAATGGGAGCTGTCATTTACTCAGGGGTGCAAGACAGCTCCAGATATATACACCTTCTTCAAATCCCCATATGGACACATCCCTGCCTGTGAGAACACCAAACTTATTTCCCTCCCCTACCATTACTGCATTTATTACCTTTAATGAATTTTTAAAGCTGTATGAAGCTGTCTTCTCATGGCCATCGGTGTTCTCCTCCCGTTTCTTGCAGAAAAGTAGCATTTTTGTATAGAGGAAGAGGTGTCTCTGCATCGGTTTGAATCTAGCCAAGTCCTTCACTTTGTTGTGCCCCTTCTTGTGGTCAGTCCATACATTGAAGGAACCCTGCATCAACAGCTTGCCAAGCTCACTGACATCCCCCTAGCAAGCAAGGAAAAGAGAGAGCATACATCACATTCAAACCAGGGTTGTCCCAGGCACAATTCATTCCTCTGATGGTGTTTGAGATTCCAGGCAGTGGCATCCCTTGTGTTGGAGAGTGCACGTCCCCTGGCGAAGCCTGTGTGGTTTCTTTCTATAACCACAAAGTCACTGGTTTCCATGTCCATAATTCCCAGTTTGTCTCCCCACTCATAGTCAGCATTTAAGATCCATCTCAGGATCTCTTTGGATGTGACACACAGGCTGCCCCCTCTGGTGACCTCAGAGGAAGCTTCTTCTGACAAAAACTGGGTTTCAAGGCTCCTGACTCCAAGGAATGCCCAGTGCAGACCAGTACCCAAGCAAAGGCTTTGATTCTGGAAGATCTAGTTTCACTTTCCACTCTTGTAAAAGTTTCCTCCATCCTTGGGCAAAACCTTGAAAGAGCTTAAATGCCTGAAGTCACGGATCAGTGCCTAGAGCTATGTAGGTATGTAATTCCCTCCTGTTTCAAAACAGTCTTCACAAGCTTTGTCAATAGTTTCTTGGCTCACCCTCTGCAAACTATGCAATGCTGCACAGCCTTGAGCAGAGAAGGAATGAATGCACCAAGGAGCCATAAAAGTACCTGAGGAAGACTGAAACTAGGCAGGAACTGGATAGACTTCCAAATTAAAGCTCTTGTCTGAAGACCACTGATGGGTAAATACTTCAACTGACATAAATATTTAACTCAGATGCCAATTCTGTGTTAAGAGTGGAGGAACATGTGGATATAAGACATGGCAATTGTATGGTAATGGAATTCAACAAATAATGATAATCATAATTATCTTAACAGCAAGTTTTCTAAGGAATGCTTTGTATAATAACTTGAGGGAATAAGCCCTGTGCATTATTAAAGTACTTATTTTCAAAATTTGCATTTTCTGTTGATTATAAGGTGAAGACATTGGCTCCAAGTGGGACCGCCTAATTTATTATACTAAGAATTTCAACCTGTTCTCCCTCTCATTCCTCGTCCTCTACCCTACACTCAACTGCAAAACCAGAGCTTTATTAGATACTTTTACCCTCTATATCAGGGTATTATTAGACTCTCCAAACCATTCAGAAAACCTCGGCAATTTAGATAAAGTCTGTCATCTCTAAAACATAGAATTGGATCTTTGTGCATACAGGACTGTGAGTGTTTGTATTTATATGTGCATGTAGCTATAAATGGCAAGCCTGTGAAAAGCACATTGATATGCAAGGCTAAATTAAAAAACAAAAACCAAAAAAACAAGAATATTTTCAACATGGTTCTGACAATGGTGAGAGGCTCCTGTCACTCCAGGCACTGTTCAATGCAGCACTGAGATCCAGAAGCTCAGTTCAGCCCTTGAGACAGGCCTGACTCTCCCACCTTGAACCTGGGATTGGGATAATAGTGAGTGAAGTGGGAGACTGCCACTGCAGAGAGAAAGAGACAGACAGGGATGGCAGTCTGCAGCAATCCCACAGGAGACTTTGAGTATCAGCCCACAAGCACTGCATTCTCTTCAGTGTAGGCAGCAAATAGGAGGATACTGTTTCTGGTAATTTCTGCTAGTGGACAGCAATATTTTATCTTAAAGGAAGTTTATTTAAAGTGGAGGATTTGATCACTATCTCAAATATAATTATTCCCTGTTAGAACAATACATAGTATCCCATGTTTATTGAATGATACATTATAAATATGATAAATTATAAGAATCTCTCATCATAATTCATGGACAAACTACCTAGGCCAGATTGTGTACAAATATTGGGATGATAGTAGGGAACACACCTAAAACTTCTGCTCTCCAAGCTTTATCCTTCTTTTTTTTTTGTGTTTTTGCCTAAAAATAAAAAAACATACACCAAACCAACCCCAGACTTACATGTTAGCAATTTCTTACACAAGAGTTCAGCTCCTCAAATCTGCATGTGCCCAAGTCCAAGGAACAGAATATCCTATTAAACTGGGAGCATTCATCAGCTATCACAAAACCTGCTTTCCTACTGGTATAATATCCCAGCCTGAAACGTTTTCCAGGCAAGTATTTTTATCATGGCTGTGTGGGAAAGATTCCACAAGATGGGGTGTGGTTTCATCATCTATGGGAGTTGTTTATTTGGAATCACAACTGAGCACCTGGGACAGGTGGAACAGGGAGAAGAAATTATTGGGCTCATCCTCTTTCACACTTTCACCCCATTTAATAATCATGCAGCAAACCATCTCAGGATTTGACTAAGCAGTGGCTATGTCCCACTGTGCCAGGTTTTGCAGTTCAGCTAAGAAAGCAGAGGCAAAAATCTAGTCCTTGGAGTTATTATTTGGCATTTCATGAAAGGCTGGAAAATTCAAAAGTAAAAGTTGAAAAGGAATAGGAATTTTCTGTTGAATTCCTGAGTACAAAACTACTCTAGCTCTAGCTTTAAAGCAAGGAATAAACAAAAGGATGACCTCAATATTTTTATGGACAGGAATCTAGATAAATCCCCCTGGTCAGGAGAGTATGTTACCTTTCTTAGAGAAGCTCTTCTTCTTTTCCCTTTACAGAACTGTTTCAAAACAATTTTTTTTGCTAAATTGCTGTAAGTACATACATTTAAACTGAGAAACACAGGAGGAAATCTACCTTTCTCTTTGGGAATTAATAAGAAACAGTGGAAACTGGAGAGCTAAAAGGTGTGCTGCATCCATGAGCTTCCCATGCCCATGTTGACTGTTTCAAGTCTGCAATAATAATGTACAGGCTCTAAAGAGTTTTTCTAAAATGAGTATCTGAGATGCTCAGGCTCAGCCATGACCAGAATGGATTATGTGCTGTTTTATTCGTTTGTGCCTATTCAGTGTTTACCAGTAAAATGAGGTGGCCTGTTTCACCTTCAACCCAGTCCAGCTACTGCAGGCAGAACTCACATTCTCATCCCAAAGGTAATGCACAATCCACAGGAGCATCTCCAGCTGTGTGCAGCAGTGGATCTCTGACAAGCAGTTAAACGTGCAAGCATTGAATTTCTTTATAAAGTCATGCTGGCAGCAGGCATGGGTTCCTCAGCTACCAGATGCAGATGCACTTTCACAGAATAGAACTATAGAAATCAAAACTTCTGAGAACACTCCCATTCTGAAAAACAGAATAACTCTTCCCACTCAGACATTATCTGTATAGCCCCAACACCTTCTCAGGAAGTCAGATTTCACACAAAATAGTTTGTCTGGATTAAAGCCTGTTACTGTGATGTAACAGTTCTTTGAACAATACTCAGTATATTGTTTCTTTCTTGACATTTTACCCTGCAGCTATTTCAAAAAGGGCAACCACATGATTCTCAGGCCTCATTTTGCCAAGCTTGTTTCTCCTTTATGTGTCAATCACTTCCACTTCTCACTTAAGGGCTCATTTTATGTAGTCAGCTAGTTCTTGAAAGTCATATGACTTCAATGGAGCTTCTGCAGAGGTATATATTTGTGCCCTTTGATTTGTACCGTGGTTGTTACTTCACATTTCAGATAACAAGCTTGCCAATCAGTGGCATGGATTCCATTACCCACTTTAAATGAAAGCCAAATTTTTCTCCCTAAGTGCAAAAGATTTGAAAACACTTGAGTTGCACAGGAGTCACAAAATTTCAGCAAATTTCTTCCATTCTGCCACACTTGCACCTCTTACCTACAAATGAGTTTTGGGTGCAATTACTCAAAAGTCCTGCATTTGCCCCATTATGTCCCCACATTCACACCCCAGCTCCACATGACAGGTGTGCTGAGATGTATTTTTGGTCATCACAGCACATCACTGAGTGACATCCTTCCAGAACGTGGCACAGGCTCCCTAAAGCACAGTACCAGCCACAGGCACAGCATGATCAGTGATGACAGGAGCATGGGATGGCTCAGACCAGGGTAGGAACAGCAGCAGCAATTACCTCATATCCTGTGATTGCTATCTGGTGCATGGAATCATTTACTGATTTGATGATATCAAGCATCGTGGCCAGGGCTTCTTCCAATTCAGCAGTACCTTCTGAATTCTTGCTGCACTTCAGCATTTCCTGATTAAAAAAAGATATGGGGAATACTTGAGAACTTCTGATACCAGAAGACACAGTAGGACAATCCTCCCTGGAATTTGTGTTGCATAACTAGCAGAAAACAAAAGAGGAGCAAAAAGACCCCAAAATCCCCAAATATGACATTCACTGGGGTGGTCATTGAGGACACATATTTTGATCTTCTGATAATTTTCAAGTTTAAAGAGTTTATTTAAGATGACACAGGACCATTCTGACATGTTTACAATGAACTCCTTGCGTGTCATAGAATTACATCCAAGGGTTTTTTTCCTTCACATCTGCTAGAACAGAAACTCAATATAATTATTTCAGGTGTTAGACAATTCCCAATTTTCTTTTGCAATTAGTTCCACAAGGTACTTACTATCACTGTTAAAATATGAATTAATTTCTAGTCTGAATTTGGCAAGTTTGACATTCCACATTTTCAGTTTGGAAATATTTTAATCCAAAAGCTGGGGCACTTGTGTTCCTTGTAAAATAAGGATGCAAAAAGGTAGTTCCTGCAAATCCCAAACAGCAGCTGTCTCTCCTCAAGTGCTTGGGTAATCAGGGACTAGAAGGTAAAAGCAGAATGCATTCCTGCAGTACATGCTGCACATTTCCTAAGATGAGAATGGATCTCTGTACAGTGATCATGATGTTTTTATCAGCATGAGCATATTAGCTAAACTGATTGAAACCAGAGGGTTGCAATAACTGTGACCCAAAATTCAAATCCAGTCTGCCTACCACTCAAGGCACACAGCTTCTTAAGCACTTGTTTGTTACCAATTTTTCACTGGATTCCATTTTTCGACACTTTTAAAAGCTCCTGCAGCCAGGGAATGACTGCACCATCTTCCCAGATCTCATAAACCCTGACAAAGTAAATGCCAGTGCCAAAGTGCTGTTGCTAAGTAAGAAACTGGTCTGACCAGCTTCAAGCCCCAATGGCTGAGACCTGTTTTGCTTGAGAATTTTACTCCTTGATCTAATCTTGGCTTTATTTACAGTCATATTTAAAATTAAAAGTAAAATCTGGTTTACTCTTGCTTTCCTGGAGACCTTGAGATTTTTTCCTTTTTCACAGAATAGTTTCAAGAAATAGAGTTCAAATTTATTTCTGGACTATGTTGGTGTAAATCTACAGGAATCAGTGAAGTTGCATCCTTGTCAATACCCATGTTCAATATTTGGATTCTGTACTTTTACATTAAGTCAATAATGTAAGCAGTTCACAGAAATAATGTACAAGAATGGCCAACCATGTCTTCCCATGGCTTATACTGGCACATTTTGAGCAGCGCCATAGCAGCTATTAGCAAGTCAAATGGCAACCTAAAATCTTCATTGCAAATTTCAATGCTAAATTTCATGACAGTGCATAACACTACTTTAAGTCCAGAGGCTTGGGAGCAGCATGTAATTTATCTTCATGACCTTCCCATAGGGAAAGTCAGTAAATATTATTTTTAAGAGTAGATGGAGACAGAAATTTAAGGCACCACCTTAAAAAGAGAAAAAAAATCATTGTTTTGAGTGTATATGTATTTTCTATTGTCCAGTTCAGACCAGAATTTCAAGCATGGACCATTCATGGTTCCAGCCAAATCAAGAGGGAAGTTCACATATTCACCCTGTGGAAAAATTACAGACAATTTGTTCCTAGCTGTGTCTTTTAAAAAGAAGCAGCAAAAGGGAGTGGCTCCCTCTGAAAGGTTTGAGTCACAACCATGGGAAAATAGCAGTGCAGAGAGCTGAAAGAGTTTTGTTAAACAGGGACAGATGTTACAGACAGGATTTAAGGTATCAGTTCCTGTTTTCAAATTGTAAGACCATATACTTATACAATAAAGTCAAGTTCAATTTCTGTTTAAAGAAAAATAAAACAATCAATAAGACAATAAAATACTATCTTAAAAAGTAAGTAAAATATCTTACTTTATATAGAGTACCTATAATAGTACACTGCTATTACTTAGTGTAAGTAGTAAGTAATGGTCGTTCCCAATCTAAAATACAAGTTCCTGTACCAGACTGTTTTCTACCATTTTACAACTAAAAAATGCTGAATATTTGCTGAAGAACTGAGTGAGGCTTTGTTCCCAGGTAGTCCTGACTGATATGCAATTCTGGAAGTAAAGCAAGCCGTACATTGGAATTCTTTGCAGCGTCATGGAGAATTTACCTTTAGCAACAGCTGGTACTTGGTGATTCTCTGGACTGGCTTTAAGAGATAAGCATCAAGTGAGAGCTTATGATCCAACTTGCGCTGACATTCCTGTAGGAGACAACACGGAAGAAAAATAAAATTGTTTCTTGAAACACAGGCAAGTCACCAAGATCATTGTCCTTTGACAATCTGAAGATAATATGTCTGTGAATTAGTTGAGAGAGAAATTTGTTCCATCTGCATAGGAATTTCTGGGTTACTTATACCACAGTGAAAATATATCTAAACAAGAGCTAATGTTTAGGTTCAACTTGGTGTCGAAATCTGGCATTCCCTGCTGATAAGATTGCAATCAGCTGGGATTTGCAAAGAAGCCAGCACTTGTTTGGTGTGGGTATAGTCTGCAGAGTCAGGCTCCTGTCCAGGAAATCTACCCACAGCTCTCCCTACCCAGTCTCCTGTAGAGAGCACCTTGACACACACTGGGCACCTGCCATTGGTATAAGAAGCATGCAGAAAAGTCTGTGTATTACTCTAGGTTTTCTAAAGAATGGAGATACACAAGGAAAACGAGCTTTGAGGGTCTTGCACTGATAGTCTGCAATGAAATTACACCTGAAAAAAAGTGCTGTCTCCACACTGTCTCCAGAGAGCTTCAGACCTTGGTTTGTTCTGACAGTATTTTTCATATATTTGAAGGTCCTCCTTCTGCAAGAAAAGAAGAGTTTAGGTAAGGGAAGGAAAAATAATCCAGTGTGTCTTTCTTGAATCACACTTTTTCTTACCTTCCATCCTAAGACATCAAGTAATTATCACATGAAAATAATTCTGCATGTAAAAACATACTGAAACCACCAAACCTGCTTTTTACTTCTGATTAAGTTAAATACATCTGAAAATGAGATATTTTTTTCCCTTCACTTTTCACACAAAGCAAGGAGACTGCAGACTGGAAGACACATAATCTAACAGCAAAACCAGTATCTTTTTCAGGGAGGTGAATTGATTGTTTGGAAAAAAAGAAAAACAAAGCAAAAAAGAACATTTGAAATTTAAATTTTATTAACAATACTGGCACTGACTGTAAATGTTAATGATAACTAAGGTTTACCAGTTCGACACACTTCAAAAATAATGTTGGCTCTCAATAGTACAAGGACAAATTAAAAGGGAGGAAGTTTGTCTTGTTGGTGTCCCAGGCCCGGCAGGGGGGATGTACTTAAACCCTGTTCTCTCCAAATTAGAAGTGGGTGGATTAATTTTATTTAGCTTTGACTACACTGCAAGTGCTCTCACTGAGGGCCATGGCAAAAATCTCACTGACTTCAGTGAAAACAGAGACCATCTCTAGAAAAGCCCAGAGAGGGTGTTTGAGCTCCCTGGGCTGTGTGGGTGTTCGTCTGCCAGGTCCTGGCCTTGCTGACTGTGCACCCGGGTGGCCACAGGGCAGTGCCAGGGGCTCCTGAGCAGGGCTGGCTGTGCCCGACCAGCCGGGAGCTTCCCACCTTCATCGGCACCTACCCTGCTGGATGTGACCTCAGCAAATCAAACACCAAAAATAAATCTCAGCAATTCCTGGATCTGTGCTTTCCTCTATGCTTTCAGCCTACCAGGCAGTTCCCATACACTCCTGCTGCAGGGAAATCATTTTCCTCTGTACAGTTACCAGAAGAAATCAGTGTTGCTGCTGTCTTCCTCTAGAGACCCATCCTGACATCACCCTGATGAATCAGCTGTGAAATCAGAGCTGTGACACGTAACACCACACTGTGTCAAGGATTATGCAACACAAAAACCTCTTCTGTTGCAACTCAATAGAGTATTAATGGTGCTGTTTTAAAATAGGTGCAGAGTTTTCTTCACAAAAATAGAATTGTTTGTACATATTGCCCTGGAGGGAAGTTAACAGGGGGTAAATCCCACAGAACTAAAAACAGCAACAAAGCATAATCAAGCATTACAATCTCATCCTGGCCCACAGAAACCTAACTGGACTGGGTAAGAATTGAGAGAGCAACAGACAAGAGAACTATTAGGAATAAGAAAAAAGAACCAAGTAAACTTAAAGAAAAGGCATAATAACCAACAATTTACCAGTAATTTGCCATAGTGGAACCTCCCTACGCCAGTGCAATCTACTGCTGCCTAAATCAGTGACACCTACTCAGGCAGATACTTACATATTTAATTACAGCTTTAAGTTTTGCAATAGTGTTAGGAATAGAATTAGGCTCAGACTTTAAAATGCTAAGAAGTAATTGATTGTCTAATTATTCAAATCTCAGTCCTAAATAATCCACACATCTCTATCTTCACTTGCAAAGGTTCTGACTTCTTGCTGGTACTTTTACACCATGCTCCTCTCTCCTGTAAAGCTTTTCCTTTCCACACTTCTTTGGACCCTGAGAGCTCTGTAATCTCCAATGCACATGGCATATATACACAATTAAAATTACCTTTTTGACTGTTGATTTATGAATAATTTTTGCATTAGTCTAGAATTTAGACATTTGAATCTAACAGTTTTCCGGTCAGCTGCTACTGTCCTTTCACAGGCCGATTCCTTTTCTAAAAGCTTCTTTCTCTCTGAATGATTAAATGTCCAACTGCTGGCTCCTATTAAACTATTCCTTTTTATAAGGTTAGCAATATGAATAAGTGAACAGTGGTAATCCACAGTGAATCACTCCTGCCAGATACATCACCTGGCACATTTTCGTAAGCAGACTGACACACCTTTGGTTCCATCCTGGGCTTTCCTGCCTTGGCTTGGTAAGCTTTCCTCCTTCACAGCCCTTTCTTTGTACAGCAGATCAGCCCAGCATGTCCCTCTTGTTGCTGATAAAGCACCAGAAGACCCATTCTGCAAGGTATTAAGTGCATATCCCTCCTGTCTTTGAAAGCTGTGTAGTCCTTGGGCACACAGAGCTGCAAGTAAGGTCAAGCATCTTGGTGATGGCAAAATAGCTGCCACATGGAAAAGCTGAGCTGGCTCACTTGTAATTTAGCTCATATGAAGATCATGCCCTGAAAGAGGTCAGGCAAAGTGGGAGGGAGGACAAGAAAGGCATTTCTGGCCCATCTTTTACCAGATTCTGCTGCTGTGTTCCAGGAGACAAAGCCAGAGAGAAGCCAGAGAGAGACTCCACAGGCTGTTTCTCTCCTCACCTGAGATGAAGGGTTCACATTCATGGTGACAGCTGATCAGGTGGCATTGGTGGAGGGGGAAGAGTGTGTGGGGACTGATTGGCCAGGAATGGAGAGACTCTGACACCAGAGTGTCTCACTGCAGCTCTCAGGATACTTTCAAGCAGCTCTGGAATCAGGGTTGAAAAGGCCCAGTGTGATCAGTCAGGGTAAAACTCTTCAAAGTTTGAATCTAAAAAATAACTGTTTGTTTCTAATTATAGGCCTAGGCTGTTGTTGTGGCAGGATGGCCACACCCGTAGAAAGAAGGAGAACCTGCAACAATGTGAGTTTCCTCCCAGAACTCAGCATCACTTGGAACAGCAGCTGCTTCTGTTTCCCCCTGTCGTAGCAAGCACAGTCGTAACTCACGGGCAGCCAGAAGCCACTGCTCAGCAGGAAGGTATAAAAAGCTGCCAAATCATGGGGAACACAAACACACAACCAGACTTTTGTTTGTGCCTCCTAAAGGCAGTCCAACAGAAACAACACATTTCTGGACTTTATGTGGCTTCTTCTAAAAACAGAACATAAGGGCAAGTTCTCAAATCAAAGGTGCTACTGTGCGAGCAGAGACATCTCAAGAGAGAAGCTTGTGCTGTCTTAGTGTGAAATTTGAAGTAGGGAGAAAGCAAATGCATGATTTAACCTCTTATTTGATAGATTTAGTGTGGTTTGACCAGGCCACAGAAACTGATGAGCCAAGGCGATGTAGGGACTGGTTTTCTCTCGCTTCATACCTGAACCTCAGCTTTAGTGCTGTTTTCATATTGGTAAAATAGTGACAAGAATTGGGCTTAACAGCTGCTTTTACACAGAGACAAAAGCTACAATATTTAAATGTGGAATTTGAACCTTCTGCAGAATCATAGGAACAATTCTATACCAAGAATTTTTATTTAGCTGCATTCTTTAGGAACATATGCAACACATGGACTATTTTACATTTCCTGGGTTTCAAAGGTCTGCATTCTTCAAAGACTGCTTATCCTCTTTTGCATAATTATTTCACCACACTATTTTCCTGCCCAGCATTTGAATCCTAGGATAACAACATATGCCTTAGTAGTGTCATTTACTCAAGTTCTAAATGCTTCGTTGTTAAACAGAAAATAATCCAATGGACACATAATCACATTTACACTTGTATGATTCTCTCTGGCCTGACCTGTTTGTAAATTGGAAGCATACCCTTTGCAAGTATCACATGCTCATAATTCCCATTAAATCTCAGTAATGTGGCAGTGCTCAGCACCTCTGACTGATTCATCCAAATCTGTCTGTATTTAACAGACATTGTATTTAATTTATTTAATTTGTGCTCTGGAAAAGCAGCAAATGCTACCTGTAGTATTACAGTAGAAGCAGGAGGTACCTTTGACTAGGACAGATTTCCCCATTTCTCATGCCACTTCCATTTCCTGTGCAAAACACAGAGCCTTATTCACACAGTTTTGTCAAACTCTGAAAGCAGTAGCAAACCACCAAAACAGATTTTTTTTTTTCATTAGTAGGGCCCCTGAAGGAGTGCTATAAAAACAAGCACCTTTGGTTGTGTTGCAGAAAAGAACTAATGGTCAGGCTGAGTGGGGGTGGAGGTGGAGGAGGGACATCACCAGGAGCTCTCAGAGAGAGCTGCAGCACTTGGGCACTGAGAGGCACCTCACAGCAGAGGGGAGAATCCCACCTGTTTTGTGCAGAAATGAAGGAATCCACCTCACAGAGTCTTATGGAGCTGGGGGGGGTCCATGCAAGGACAGCACAGACTCTGCTGGGACAGTTCTAGGGGACCAAGTGTCCTGAATAGTGCAGAGAAGAGATAAGATAAAGCAGGAACAGGATGTGTTGTCTGCACTCAGAGAAACCTGCTGCGACACCGATACCTCCTCTGCTTATTTACTGCAGGGTGGTGTCGGGGTTACATCAGACTCCTGCTACAGATGTGTTTGATATGAAAAGCATGTCAAACATTTGGATCACTGTTATTTGTTGGGTTTTTTCTTTTAAATGGGACTTAAAATACTTGTAAAACACTGGTAACAGACTTGTTCCCGTCAGTAAACCAGGTAAAGGGTGAGATATCAGAATACATGCTTGGTAACTATGGCTTAATTTGGGAGTAGCTGCTTAGAGGAGTTTCCTTCATTAACAAAAGCAGACAGAGTGAAAAGATGGGAGTAAATCTGTAAGTACTGTAGGATAAGACCATAGATATTCATTGAAACTTGGAAAAGGATATACTTACTCTTTTCAAAAAGCACCGGGCAAGAAGCTCAGGGTTTTCAATGCAATTTTCTATCTCCTTAAGGAAAATCCTATAAGGGAGAAAAAAAGAGCAAAGGGTATTGTAAAATTAGGATTGTTGATTTTACACATATTGTGTGTTAGCTTCTGTGTAAATGCAACTTAAAGCCTTCCTTTTAGTAATATGAGGATCCAATGGGGAAGGTAACAGTTCTGATACACCAAGAAATATATATCTTAGAAAAATGGGATGTAGCTGTTACCTGATTCCCTGAATCACAAATATTATCATATTTTCTCTGCTCAAAAGCATCTGCTACATCTGATTCCTCTGGCTGTTGAAATTTCTTTCCAATCTGTAGCCCAAATACCTGCTTTCCACTTGGGTACAAGGATTTTTCAGAACAGCTAGAACAGACAGGAATGCTCAATCAGACGCAGTTGCTCAATCAGGAAGCAGTGAAAATATGGGATGTAGTCCAAAGGCTTCTGCAGTGACAGTCAATGCACTAAACCTTTAGGGAAAGAAAGGGCTTTCCCTTTAGGGAAATTGGGCTTGCAAAGGGAGAGGAACATCCTTCTCCAAATGGAAGACACAATGTTTGATAATTATATATAAACTCGAAAATAATTTTTCTACTATGTATTAACTACTCTGGCATAATATTAAGACTTGCAAAAGAGATTTTTAAGATTTATTTTGTTCAACTGTTTGTTACATTTTACAGGCAACCATTACTCAAAATAATTCCTAAATTCCTAGTCTGGTTATAGCCAGTTTTGCTCAAGCAAGGCTAGGAAAAGCAGGAAATTTGTAGGAGTTGCTCTAAGCTTTGTGTTTTGAAAGCTGATTGCAAGAGAGTAAATCTTGTTCATAACTTATATTCTGTAGTTATGGGCTCTGGATTTCCTTGTCCACACTATGGACATGGCTTCTGGAAAGGTTTGTGATCTTATATAAGGGAAATGAAGAAAGGTGGTATCAAATATATAATGTCTTCTGATCTGATATAAATATGAAAAATATCTGATATCGAATGAAATACAGGACAAATAAGTTGAAAACTAAGAAAACTTCCTCACAAAGGTATTTTGCCAGACAGAAAATACCAGGATTTATTCCTGTGATGTCTACCAGTGTGCCAAGAGGTGGTAAAACAGTGACCATAGGGGACATTCAAAATGAATCCTGCCAGAGGAAATCGCTTGTAAATGCACAAAAGGTACAATCTTCACCAAAAAAAAAGATGAAATAGATGATCCTGGAGGGGTTCTCTACACATGGGTATATAGGATACACACAGAGACCAAGTGAGGATAACTTTTCCTGCCACTGTACATGTGAGCATGACAAAGCACCTGACAGAAAAGGACTGGACATGGTGGTGGCACCCAAGGATACAGGACAACCACCAGTTCCCATGTACCTGTTGTGGAAATAGTAGATTTCTGGGAGGTTCCCAAAAAGAATTTCCTTCTTGTTCTGAAGTGCAGATGGAATCAGATGTACTAAATTGGGATTGTCCATTTCTGAAGCGTACCCCTGCAGAGAAGAGTGGGAAATAAAACCAGTGTGTTTTCACCAGGGAAGAAGTACTTGTTCAAGGCACTGGAAAGCTCCAAAGTCCATGTGCTTTTGTTCTCCACAGAGCAAACAAAGCTTCTCCCATGCCTGCTGCTTTGTTGCTCCCATTAATTTCTGATGCTTCTGATTTTCCCCAGAGATTTTACCCTGTAACTGTGCAAACACATTTTAACCACAAATGACCACAGGTCACAAGGTTAATAAAAAAGAGATGAAATTGTGTGTCTAGGATTCAAAAGCCATTTGGGTCATGTAGGGATGGAGACTGCTAAGATTGACAGACAGATACCTTTCTGCTACCCTGCTTCATTGCACAAGAGTTAGTTTGGATTTATTTGTTGAACCGTGGTATTTGGTTTGACTATTTTTTTTTGTTTCTTGTGAAAACTAAATTGTGTTTCTTCAATAATAACTTTGAGAGGAGAACATTCTGATTTTAAACTCAGGAGTAATATATCAATTACCAGAGCTGCCAGCTCCCGTGGAACAAATGCAATAAAGAATCAACCACATGTCCTTAAAGTCCCACCCAAATATAAGCATGATTGATCCCTACTCAGCTTCTGTCCTCCCACAGATTAGGGACCTCAGACCCCACACACACTGAGTATGCTGGTATCCTATCAGTTTCAAAAGCTCAAGAATTAAATTTGCAGCATGAGCTGCATTTTTTTTCTGTGTTCAAGGACATCATGGGATAATAAAGAAGAGCAGGAGGGGCACCTTCCTTTTTCTCAATAATTTTCCAAATGTACATTCACAGAATTTAGTGTCTGGCCCCATGGACATCAAAGGTGCTGCTTCTGAGACTTATTGGTAATATTTTGAAAAGACATTATTAACTCCTTCTCTGTCCAGAACTTTCAGAACCATGCAAATTGTCATTCTGTGGGCTTAGGCCACAGAAGGTCCTTTAAGCCTTTTCCTTTAAGTCCTGAGGAAGGCTGTTCAAAACATCCTTCCCATTCTCCATCTCCAAGGCTGAGCTATCTTGCCAACACAGCCTGTGTGTTATAAACAGGAGGTGGGAGTGCTCAGCCCATGAAGGATGTGCACCTGCAGTGATGACTTAGAGGTTACTCACCAAAAAGTAATTTCAGAAGAGTTTCTTACCTCTATTATACTTTGAAGTTCTTCTACATAAACCCGTTCTGTTTCTATCAGCTCATTGATTATGTGGCTGAAAGTCAAGAAGGTAGAGAGTCATAGTGTTAACCAAGCACATGTGAAAGAAAAAAAAATTATATTGCTTACATATTCCTGTTTATGCCTTTAACTACACACAAAAACCCTCTGAAGGTCATATCTCAATTCTTCAATGTTGTGCCTTGTTGATAAGATTAAAAGACCTAAACACATTTTTGACTGTAATTTTTTTTCAGTTCATTTTAAATTTTATCTTGGATTCTTCTGTCATTTTTACATTTGCAAACTGAAAAAAAAAATCCCAATAAGGAAAACAAAAAAGATTTATCTTCTAAGAATAACTAATACTCAATAAAATGAAAATATATGTCAGAGCCATGCTAATGTTTCTGTTTAATTTCTTTTATAAAATAGACAAAATCAGTGCCTAGACTTTCATCTTCTAATACAATGCAAAACAAGGCAACAGGATGATGTCAGAAGTCTGAAAACATGAAAGTAGATTAGAGTAAAATATTTTTACTACATTTTAGACTTTTCATTTCTATTATTAGTTTAATGCTCCTAGGTAACTTGAAGACATATTGAAGATTCCTGACTTATTTCACAGACACATGAATGTAACCAATTCACTTTTGGACAAATAACTAATTAGATATTGAAATACAATTGCATTAGATCCTCTCATGTTTTTATCCACCAAATGTCCCGTATTATCCAAAAAGTGTTGTCTTTAGTACTGCTATCTGCAAAGTTTTCAGGCCAGCTCCTCCAGAGGTTTAAGCAGCAGGAAAGGACAAATACCTGGTGTTCTTCTCCTGGCTTGTGCTTCTCGAGAATCTTTAAGCACAGCTATCTCAAGCCAAAACACATCCTCAGAACACAAGGGAATAATGTCTTGAGGAACTGGAGTGTGGCCAGCCATGAGCAGCACACAGCATGGGGCCAGTAAAGCATAGGCACCTCTTGGCATCAATACCAGCTCGTGCATTCATCCAGCATCTCCCTGCACGCACTGCCTGTGCCTGGTTACCTGGCTCTGTGTCACACAACAGTCACATCATCAGCCAGACCCCCTCAGTGCTTTAGATCATGAGTCACTTCTGTACTGTTGCATCCACTATAAGGGACTTTCCTCATTCTCCACAATTTATTAGGCTGTCCTTTTTGAGGTTAAAAAACAATTGCACTTCTGATAAAGCCTCGTTTGAATGGTTTGCTCAAGCATTTGAAAATAAAATAGCCACATTGTGGCTTGCAGCTTGAAATGCAAAAGCACTGACTAAAACATTAATAGGCTACTACAATAGATCCACTGGTTCCCTTTGGATTTTCCCAGTCCTTTTTCAAGGAAATGTGGTTTTGTAGGCTACCTGGGGATCACTTATTCAGGTCTCAAAGGCTATTGCTCCTTTATGGACCACTGCTTGAGAAACATTATAAATACTGGAAAAACTAGCCCTTACCTTCAACTGATGTTTCAAGTTTTATTATAAAATAGCTGGGATTTCATAGCTGTCTTGACATAATGCCTTAAATTGCAGGGTCTAGCACAAGGTTGAGCAATGGGTGTGGGCTGTACCAGTGCTCCCCTGGCCACACTCAGGTCCCATTGGCCACTCTTGCACTGGCTGTGGGCTCCTGGTGACTTCCTCTGTTCCCCCTCAGGTGTCCCCAGTTTGGGAGACCCCCCAAAATGTTCCACTGCTGATTGTGCAAGGACTGGGGTTCCGTGACTGTCATGGGCAATGAGGGGAACTCAGCACACGCCTGCTGCCAGTAACCCATTTAACGAAAATAGGAGGCAACAATTGACAGGATTATTGTCACAGGCAGCTCTTCCCACCCCCTTTTCCCCTTTGACATGCATGACTAAGAAGTTATTTCTAGGGTAACTGGGATGTGTGAGGTAAAGGGGCAGGGGAGAACTTCCATGCTGTATTGTTCATTCATTTCAGAAAATTTTACAAGAATTTGAGGTTTGCATGGCAGCAGTCCAAACACAACAAAACTCTGAGCTGGCTGAAGTTTATGGGATAGAATAACTCCTCACCAGGATCATTCCCAAGCAAACAGGCCATCTCAGCAGGGGTGGTAAAGCATCAGGCATCTGACCTGAAGGTCAGAATCTGAGAAATCCCTAAGGTCCTATCTATAGCCATCCCTGTTGCTAGTAAAACTTCATTCCACTCGAGTATACTTGCTCCTTCCCCAGTGAAACAAAGAGATTCACCAAACCAGCAGAGTTAGACAAAGGTAGAATACTCTGGTCCCAGTAATACCTGACTCAGTAGCTTTCCTGACACAGAAATAGTGATGTGAAACACTGCTCAGGAGGTCAAGGCCAGCTTTCCCTCTGTGGAGGGAATTAAACATCTTAGCAGAGGGAGCTCGGCCACCACCAACCTGGCACAGCCCTGTGTATGGCAGAGCCCCTGAATTAGGGGCAGAATTAGGGTGTGTTTGGGGCAGGGATCACACACAGGCTCAGTGATACAATGTTGTCAGATGTTCCTCCAGCAAAGGAAACTTCTTGGTATGGAACATAATTACAATGCATGAACTAGCTGACATTTTGTTGAATGATTGCTCTGGGTTTCTAAGGAAACCTTGTGGCCTTGGCTACACCAAGACCACATCTCCCACATGGGGGACTTTACAGAGTTGTCATTTGGGCAGGTTTTTCTCACTTGACCAGCTGTGATATCCTGTGGCCCTGCACTACCGAGATGTCACACATTGAGCCACGTTCCGTCACTCCCAGCTCTGAGAAGCCCTGAAGTGCCTGCAGGGTATGGATGATAAGAAAGGAGAAAGTAATAAGAAAATTATTTCTGCTTTGTCAATAGTGCTGTCTCCAGTAGTCATGCCATGCTGCAGTGAAGTAAAAAAAATATTTCACAGAGGAAGCTCCTCAGCAAGGGTGAGAATGTAGGAGCTGCAATGGGAAACAAAGCATTGGGAAAAGACTTGTTTTTAGGCAAGATTGTAAGTGAAACCTTGAAACTGAGGTGAACTGGCACTAATTATCACCCTTGACTTTTAGAGATGCATTTTTCTATCAGCCCATGCCTTTGCTGGTATTTAGATCAAAGGTAGCTATTTATATCACTTTGGACTGTGCAAATAGCAATTAGCAGTGTTGTTGCTATAAGTATAAACTTACCCTGCACTGTATTGTTTTGTTGCAACAAACCATTGTCAGTAGGTATTTATCTGAGCTGGCTTCTTTGGGTAACTGAGAGCACACTTCTAGGAAGGTCCTCACCCCAGTGACCATAAAGCAGACGCATATCAGACCATTTCATCTCAGTTACTCTTTCCCCTTCCTTCTTCTTTAGCATCAGAAGGAAAAAGAAACATAACTGAACGGTTGGCCAAGATCCCCAGGGGTGTCAGGTAATTCTGCAAGTCTTTCTCACAATAATTTTGGCAGGATGATTTCTCTGCTGTGATGTGTGCTGCCTTAAGAAACCCCATCAAATATAATGAAACACTAAGCAGGAATATTATCTAGAGATTACCACAGCCTATTAATATCTCCTCTGGCTAAACCTCAATTACTTTGTCCTCATGCAGTTACTATTTGTGCATCCTGCTCCAATGACAATATAAACTAATTCAGGATTTTTGTTTCCATAGCTGTGTTTCTCTAACAAACTCATTGGCCCACCTCCACTCACAGATCCTGTTTCTACACCAGGATTTGCTACCACACATGCCTGTCCTGATAGGCAGTCTTTTCCCAGAAGAGAACTTAAAGACATCCATTAAAATTAAACCAGTGAGCTTTTCTGAAAAGAACCCCCAGCATAAATCATAACTGGTGCTCCAAAATTATTGTGCTGCAGAAAACCTGACTGCATGACAGGTGTGGAACCAGCAGAAATGGCACTCGTGCATGAGCTCTCCATACCTGTCTTACAAAAACACATGGTGCCTAGCAGATGAAACAGGAGTATTTTCAACACCCAAAACAGCAGAAAATAGGTATGTAAGAGCAAAATATTTCATTTAATAAATTAATACAAACCCACCTCATTATTTTTATAAATATATCTAATATAGATAGAGAGGTACTTAAATTGAAAATACTGGTTCTTTTAATGCCTGAGGCTTCAAACACAATAGAAAGGACTGAAAGAACCTGTGTGCAGTGTAATGAAAATGTAAACACAGAAAAAATATCAACATTGGATAGACTTGAACTTCAGGGAAGTCTGAGTAATTTACTGGCTTGCAAGTATGAGCACAGTGGTGAAAAGCTCCCTGGTCCAGCACTCTGGCTAGTTCTAAGTACTGTGAAATTTCTGTTTCTGAATGTAAATAAAATTGAACAAAACTATATTTTTTTGCAATGGTATCTTCTTTGTAGGTAGTATAAGATGAAAGTCTCACTGTTGCAGTTGAAATAGAATCAGCAATAAATATCACATCCAGTTTTGAATTAGATGAATATAGAAGAATAGAATAGAAGAATTTGAATCACTACAAGAAATTCTAAGACTGGTCAAATCATAAAATCTCAAAATTATCTCAGTGTTATGGAATGAAAAAAATTACAGCATGTCAGTAGCTGAGCAGAAGAAACTTCCATTCCATCCACATAATTGCATTTAAGAGGACTTTTTTTTTTGTTTCTCACAGTGCTAAAAAGGCCTTTTTCAGTTGAAAAGTATTCTCAACTGAGGTTGTGCAACAGCTCAAATGAAATTTGAGTAATGAGTCAGTTGCTGTGCTTTACCTCCTAAAGTGGAATAAAAGATCATTCTGGACTTAAGAGCATTTGTTTCAACCGAACTTGTTAGTTGATACAGTATTTGTTAGTTGATACAGAAAACAGTTCTGATTTCTCTGACATGTACTCCTTTTTTTTCCTTTTTCTTCCAATGAGAGCAATGCCTTGAAAGAACAACGACCATTCTTAAAGTACAATTCATGGTTGCAAACCAAGCCCAACCAAGTAACTTTGAGTAGCATAAGGGGCTTAGGTAGTACACTCCACCCCATCTCAAAATTAGTGCCCTTTACTGA